GGAAGGGGGGAAGGAAACTTTCATGGTCCAATGTCCAGAGAAGGCATGTTAGTTTTGCTGAAAATAAAACCCAGAAAGTTAGGTTCTTATGGCTTTTAGCAGAGACATGATGAGGACTACAAACTGGAACACCACCACAGACTGGCTTTACTTACACTGAGGGAGTTTTTAACTTATGAATTGTTGGATACAAGTTTTTTCCAATCATATTTCAGATGCTCCTTTTTATCTTTTTGTTCTGTTTGTTTGTTTGTTTGTTTGTTTGTTTTTGACAAATTGAAAAACCTGGCTACAGTAGGTCACATTTACACAGGCATCTGTGGGCCAGGACAGTGTTGGCAACAGCTTCCCTAGGCTGTCTCCACCCTGCCCTCCCTCTATCCCTGCCCCCCCCCCCACGCACAACCATGCAGCCATGCAGATGCCTGATTAGCACCTGCAGGCTCAGGAGCCTCAGCAGCCAATGCATTGCTTACAAAGCTTTTTGTAACCTCAGCACACTTTGTGTATTCCAGAAGTTTCAAATTATCTGCTTGATACTACAGGCTAATTGTTTCTTACCCAAAATGCTTAAGTCCAGAAATGGTCCAGATTTTGGTGGGTTTTTTCCTTCAGATTTTGGAGTTTTATGAATGTATAATAGGATATCTTGGGGATGGGACCCAAGTTTAAACATGAAATTCATTTATACTCCCGATACCCCTATACACATAGCCTGAAGATGATCTCATACAAGATTTTTATCATGCCTGTGCTTTGACTGAGACTCATTATTTAAATCAAGTGTGAAAATTTCTCTTTATGGTATTAAATCAGAACTCAAAAAATGTTTTAGATTTTTAAGTGCTTAAATTTAAATTTCAGATTTTTTTTTTTAGACAACATGTACAGTGGGAAAAAAATGTGATAATGTGGTGTCCTGTAGAGTATGCTTTTGGCCTTACCGCACCAGAAAACCAAATCCTAAAATCAAATTCTGTTGGATTATTTGCATTTGACCTAGCACAGAGTAATGGTCTGAATGAGAATGATCCCGTGGATTCATGTATTTGAAGGCTTGGTTCCCAGTTGGTGGAGTAGTTAATGAGTAGGAGTTATGGCCCTGTTGGAGATGTGTCACTGCAAGTGGACTTTGAGGTTTCAAAATTCTACATCAGGCCCAGTCTCTCTCTCTCTCTCTCTCTCTCTCTCTCTCTCTCTCTCTCTCTCTCTCTCTCTCCGCCCTTTCTCTATCTCTGTGTGACTCTCTGTGTTTCTGTCTCTGTCTCTCTGTGTCTCTATGTATGTGTCTCTCTCTGTCTTTGTGACTGTCTGTCTGTCTGCCTGTCTTCTGCTTGTGAACCAGATGTAAACTCTGAGCCACTGCCCCAAGTCCATGCCTGCCTGCCTCCTGTCATGCTTCCCACCATCATGGCCATGGACTCACCCTCTGGAACTGTAAGCAAATTCCCAATTAAGTGATTTCTTCTATAAGTTGCTTTGTGTTTCTTCATAGCAACAGAACAATAACTAAGACAGAAACAGACAGGCCAGCGTCAGTTTGGAAAATTTTCCTGGATTTTTTCATAGCCAGCCAGAGGAGACTTAATATTTAGTTAAGAAGTCATCCAAAAATGTGTGCCTCCTTAGTCGCACAGTCCTTTACGATGGCAGTCATCACTACAGCAGCATTCTGAATTATGGGTGTGCTATCTATGGAGGTGCTCATAATTTTCCTGTCTTTTTTTCCCAGTACAATAAAGTATACAAGAGCCTGAAGGAGTTTGCTCAAAATGGAGAGAATTTCTGCAAGCAGATCACATCCGTCCTTCAGCAAAGGTACAAAATGCACATTTGCAACACGTAATTCTTCCTCTGTAGCTGCAGCTAGCGACATGTCTGAAGAGGTGATTAGAGGCTGCACCACTTTTCAGAACACAGTGTTAAATTTTGGTGCTTGAGAAACTGGGTTGAAGAATGAGCCTCCTCCGTGCACATTTATCAACCGGCATCATAAAGACCAAGAAACCACACAGTGGACTTCTGCTTAGGAAGACTCAGTCAAACTCCCAGGGGGTCTGATGTATATGACCATTATTGTGCTTTTCACACTGATCTCAATTATTAGTTTTTGTTTTGTTTTGTTTTGTTTTTGTTTTTTTTGTCTGCCACAAGGACAGGGGTGGTGTCTCACCCATTGTATGATGAGAACTTCTTAGAGCCAGGTCTTTGATTTTTTGGTCATTTTCTAAAGAATGAATGGATAGATTCATGGATGAGAGGCCATCATTTTTTAATATTAATATCTCCTCTGAATACTAAGTATGGCTGTGAATAAAGCTGTTCCCTGGGCTAAAGTAAGCACATTTAACTGAGGTGATAAAGGATGGGGGCGAGGTGACTGCTTCAAGTTATAGAACCTGAGAAAGGGGTTGACTTATAAGGGGGCACTCAGGCCTTTGCTCTACTACAGACATCTCTATATTAAATATTCTGTGATGGAGTGCTTGTGTAGTATGTATAAGACCATGGTTCAATCCCCAGCGCATGTGTGCACATGTGCGCCCCCCCCACACTTTATGTGTGCCATACAAAAAAAGATATCCTGAGTTAAGAACACTCAACATTAGCAAATCAATTACCAAAAGAGAATACTAGCTTTGTCAGAACAATCAATGACTGGGAGAGCTCAAAAGAATTTTTATAAAGAAAACCTCAAGTTTGTCAAATGGAATAAAAAAGAAAATAAAAGTTTAAGTGAGTTATATTTCCATTTTAAAAGTCAAACTGCCTTGATTTTCCAAAAGAGAAGGGTGGGGGGGGGCGGGGAGGAGTGCAATCAAAGACAGTATTTCATCTATAAGAAAATATTTTATTAGCCTCAAGGGAAATTATTTTTAAATAAGGTCAGCAAACTATTCTGTAAATCCAACTCTTTGCTTAGGTAAACGTTTCTTCTCCCTGAAAAGCAGGAAGAGCTATACACTAAGACCCAGATGGTAGTCATCTGGTCTTGATTATTTGGTGTCCAAGAGTTCAAAATTAGTGCTAGATAGACAGATATGGAGACAGGAGGGCGAGAACAAAATGATGGCCATACTACAGTAGGCTCCATGGTGGATTCTCAGGGTCCCCGCAGCCACTACTTTACCACTCTTCCTGATTTTCCTTGTACAGATGTTCATCAGCTGCTTCATTTTCTCTACAGCCAGAGCTCTGGCTTCTTACCTGTGTTTCTTTTGAAGTCCCTTCCCAGGACTAGTGCCTGTCCTCTCTGTGTGTGAAATCGACCATCTCCACATTCTCAAGGGGCAAACATGGAACCCTTGGGCAGGAGACGCATCTCCCTTCATGGTTTTACTTCCTATGGACTAGATTTAGAATCTGGATATATATATAGGATGCTCTAGGTTAAAATTGCAAGTATATTTATGAGTTAAAACCTGTATAGCATAAACGCAAAGAATGGATATAATGCTTTAGTAAGATCCCGGCCTTGAATAATGCTGAACAAACATGTGGCAGACATTTCGTAAGCTAGCCTGGAACAACCAAATCATTTTCCTCAACCAAGATGCCACTGCTGGGGTTCTTTAATTGGCTCCTGATAGTTGTTCATTTGAAGAGACCCCTCCTACTTAAGATGCCCAGTTCCCTGGGCTTTCTCAACTATTGATTATACAGTTAACCTGAGGGGTATATATCCAGAGAACCATTTTCTAGTGGATATAGCACTTTATTAATACATGAATGTTTTCCTCCTGGTGTACTTTAGTTCACATTCTTATGAGTCAGTTAACAAAGATAGATGCTGCATCATAGCCCTGGATAGGGCCAAGTGATGTGATTCGGAGGCCACTACCTCTTCCTCCTATGCTTGAACTCACTCTACAAAACTGGTCCTCAAGGACCAGCGAATGCAGTGCACCTGGTACACTTTGACTGTCTTCATTCTGTGACTTCAGAAATCACTTCCCTAAGCATATAGAACCCAAAGGCTGGCTCTTATTTAATGCTGCTGCTTGCCTATTATCCTAGCACATGGGAGACTGAGGCAGAAGGATGACAAGTTCAAGGCCAGCCCTGGCTAAATAGTGAGGTTGTATCTCAAGGGGAGAAAACCTCAAAAACCTGGACTGGTTGGTAGCTCAGCTTGCTGCCAAACCTGACAACATGTGCTCTGTCCCAAGAACCCAGATGGTAGGAGTGAATTGATTTCTGAAAATTGTCCTCTAACCTGCACACACACTGTGGCACACTTGAGTACACACACACACACACACACACACACACACACACACACACACACACACAGTGAGGGATTGTGTAGCAAAAGACACGATTGTGAAAAGCAAAGAAAGGATATTTGTTCAATGTGGCCACTTTGAGGAGAGCAAATACAAATATGGGCATCCAGGGACCCACAAGACCACCTCCAGGGTGATGGACATTAAGTTGAGGCTGAAGTAGAGGGGCAAGAAGTATACATAACTCAGCAGTGCTGGTCACAGTGTGGCCATGCCCACACTGGCCCATCACTGCCTGAGCTCTAGTCAGTTCTGAAATGTCTGAACTAAAACTCTATTCAAGGAGACAAGCCCCCTTTCTGGTTGGTACCAGGGTCGAAGCTTCTTCCTTTTCCCAGCCTAAGACTTTGGGAGATTTTAATTTCTTGAGGTCCGTAATTTCAATAGTTTGATAACCAAAGAGAGGGATGCAAGTATCTCTCCTTAAGTGTCTTCCCTCAGCTACAAGGCCAGGGCTGTTTCCTCTTAAATATGTGGGCTTGTTTTATACAAATCAATGGTACGTTCCATTTGCATTAGATATAGGTGAGAAAGCCTCATAAGACAAGTACAACGACACTCAGAATGAGTATAGCAGACATACAAATCGAGGGTGAGGACACGGGAAATGATGAAGGCAAACCCTGCAGCCAGCATAATGGCAGAAATCATGGCACTTGGAAAATATTTGCAGATTGGATGAATAAGTATGTAAAAGATCATTGAAGACTTTTTATTGCCATAGCTACATTACCAGAATAAGGATCACAGTGTCCCTGGAAGTTTACATTCTAGATACCATGGAGTCCGCTTAGATGAGGTTCCACTCAGCAGAGTTACGCATTCAGGCTTGCATAGAAGTGGACTCACAGTGGAGCTGCAACCCCAGATACTGTCACCTTCTCTAGTTCAGTTATTTCTTGCTTTCTTCTGATTGGAGGTGATAGAAACCTGCATGCATTATGACATGATGTTTTACCTGAATATTCTGCAATTCACAGTCGTCATGCTCAGCTTCCTCTGCCCAATGAGTTATTGCTGTTTCCCATTTTTACAGTCTCAAACTCCAGTTCAGCCAGAGACACACAGCAGCTCCTATTATGCTTAAAGTCAAAGTTCCCAGGTTCACTGTAGCACAACTACAAACCGTATTTAAAATTACAGAGGCATTTTTCCAGATACTGTGTGTGAGAGTTTGGCTCCCCACATCACTGCAGCTAATGTTTAAACCAGCTGTGATGGGAAATCAATTGTTCCGTTGCAAGGAAGCTTGGGAACAGGTTTCCAGATGGAAGAGTCATCACCAAAGACATTAAAAATAAAAAAGGGGAGTAGAAGGCCACAAGTGACTCATCATTGCAGATGTTATCAACAAAAAAGCTAGAAACATGGAATGAAATATTTGGCTGTACTCATTTTCTTCCAGCCTCAGCTCCTTTGCATATTGAGGACTTCCAGACACTGACTACCACCAAAGTCTGTTTTTTATTATATCAGTGTTCTAGCTGCATATGCACCTTTATTCCCAAAGAGGGCATCAGACTCCACTATGAATGGTTATGAGCCACCATGTGGTGCTGAGAATTGAACTCAGGACCTCTGGAAGAGCAGTCAGTGCTCTTAAGTGCTGAGCCATCTCTCCAGCCCACCATATAAGTCTTAACTGAGCTTCCAACATATATGTGACAGACTATTGGAAATATAGATAGATAGATATAGATAGATAGATAGATAGATAGATAGATAGATAGATAGATAGATATGTGTGTATGTGTGTATGTGTGTATGTGTATATGTATGTATGTATGTATTTATGTATGTATGTATATTCATACATGTTCCTTAGAACCACAGCATTAGAATGTCCAAAAAGCTTTCATCTAAAGCAGATTCTCCTCTTAGACTGATGTACTAACAAGAACCTTGGGTGTGCCTAGATTTCACCACGATGTCTGATACCATACCCAACCAAGGCCTGTAGCAAGGAGAGATTGCCTGTACTAAATATTTCTTCTATCCTCACCCATGGCTGAGATGTCCTTTCTCTCCTCTACACTCCCTTTCTAGCCAGAGGATTTTTTTTAGCTTCCATGGTCTCCTTTATTGTTTTGGGAGAAGTCTCTTGATCTGTCTTCATCTTGGGTGACTGTCCTGCAACTGTGTAATCCCCCTGTTTCATAACAGCACCTGATTGGGAGTAGCATAGATGGAGATAGAAATTCAATCCACTCTCATCCTTTTTATTAAGATGTTCAAAGCTGCATCCTCCCAGAGGAACTTGTGTTTCAAATCCAAGGAGAGGTCTCTCAACTTGCTGGCTGAGGCCCTGTCCTTATCTCTAATGAAGGGTCGCAGGAAAATGGGAACCTTTTGTAACATCTGAGAGCCCTGTCTCCTGGGTCATATGTGTAAGATTGTATTTGATTAGATAGGAGATAGGCAGTAATTTTGTTGTTTGTTTGTTTGTTTCTTTCAAGACAGGGTTTCTCTATGTGGCCTTGGCTGTCCAGGAACTCACTCTGTAGACCAGGATGGCTTTGAACTCACAGAGATCTGCCTGCCTCTGCCTCCCAAGTGCTGGGTTTAAAGGCATGCACCACCACTGCCTGGCCAAGGTAGCAAATTTTATATCCTCATTTGTCCTACCAGAGACTGGTCATTTACAGTGAGGTACCAAGGGTTAAGAATTAGGCACTCAGTCTTTATCCCTAGAGCACAAATGGACTTGGGGAGCCCCATTCCCTATGGAGGGATACTATTGCACCCCAGATACAGGAAGGAGGGTCTAGACCCTCCTCAAAACAACATGACAGACTTTGAAGGTCCTTGGTAGAGGGCTTCACTATCCCTGAGGAGGAGTCGCGGTTGGGTGGGGAGCATGGGAGGATGGCGGGGAGGGGGGGGAATGGATATGTAAATATGAGGAATTCATAATAATAATAAGAAGAATTAGGCTCTAATTAAACATAACATCACAAGTTACTGTGTCAGGCTCTATGCATTAGGAGTCTTATTGACTAGTCTTGTCCTAGGTTACTGTCCTAAAACCCTGTAGTTTGCACCGTGCACAAGGGCAGCAGGGAGATCTAGTGTTGGAAAGGGATGGACTTCTTTTGTATTTTGGGGCCTTTTTATCTCCCATGTATTTTCTATTATGACCTTGATCCTGTTTAAGACCCTTCAGAGACTCCTTTAGGATGAAATTCAGACTCCATAGTATTTTATAAAGAACTTGAGATTTAGACTTTCCCTCCTGCCTTCTCTCTCCCCAGCCTATGATCTTTGCCCTCCCCTTCTTACTGAGTCACTAACACCTCCCCCACATTATCCCCACCACCCAATGGGCCACTATGTTACCACAAGCTGTCGGGTTGCCTGGTGGGCACATCCTCGCCTTCTGTAGCTGGCTCTGGTAAATCTATTCTTCACCACTCAGTGCTTCATTATGGAAGGCCGTCTTTAACTCAAATCTGTAGTCTGAAGTCTCCTCTCAGTCTGTATGTAGAGTCAGTGCACACCTCAGCTGCAGCTCTTCCTGCCTTGCTTTGTTTCTTTCTTCACTTGCTGTGGACATTCTCCTTGAATCAAAGTCTTTGTATTCAATGTGCCTCGCGCATGGTTCAGAGTAGGAGGTGTCGGTAGAGGCTCTCTGAGTGGATGGATGTAGCCAGGTCTGAGTTGGTTTGTTCCTTTGGGCAGTTACAATTAAGAAGGTCATGTTGGACAAATTCTGATTCTGATTCTGACAAAATCAACATATGGATGTACCTTTGACATTTGCTAACATGTCCTCTTTATATTATGCTTGAGCAAAAGCTAAAAAAGTAAAAGCACAGAGGAGACCATTTATCTAGCATAATCTATATACCAGGCACTTCATTAGATGTCTCTAATCTTGATCTCTGTGACACTCAAAAGTGGCATGTAAACATCTTTACTGGTCCTTAAGTAATTGGTAGTGACATGCAAAAGGCGGTTGTTTGATTTTAATCCAGTGCAAAGGCATCCTCAAAATAGGCAGACAAATTTGGGGCTCTGCTAGGCAAGTCCCAACATACTCAGATGACATTGAGTCATTTTGATAAGAAGGGACGTTTGTGCCATGAAGCCCAGTGGCTTTTAAACCTTGTGACTCACAGAGTCCGTATCCCTCAGTAGCTACTCTGGGGTCGAGGAAGACAATGAGGTAGGCAGGCTCTGCTGTGCTCTCACTGCTCTCGGTTACTAAGAATAGTTCCACTAACGTGGGTATGATATGATTTCACTTGGAATAAAGTTTTCCTTTCTACCTAAAAGCCTCTGGAGATTTTCCGTCTTGTCTACTTGGCTTGGCTTTTCCCACCACAGTCCTTCACGTTCCTGTACACAGTGGACACACTGAACTTGCCAATACACTGACTCGGGATCAGAGACTTCCAGCTGCTCAGCTTGAGGTCTCCTGCATTCAGGAAGCTCTCCCAGCGGCATAGTTCCTTTTTACAAGCTGTTGCCAGGAAGCAGAATTAGGACAGTGGATAATAGTCAAATAGCTAGTCAGAGCACCAAGGCACTGGAGTGACAGAGCTTTGACTTGATTCTAATTGCCAATTACTACCTTAATAGTTGCTAATTTTTACTCCTAGGTAGTGCGGAGGGCCTGAACCCAGGGTCTTATACAGGATGGCAAGTATTCTCCCCAGCCCTACCTGTTAACTTTTAGGTTGGCACATAATAATTACACACATTTACAGGCACAACATAATAATTTGACATCATGTCTACAGTATGTATATGGATAAGTAAGGGTAATTAGCATCTGCCTGACATGGCATATGCTTACTGGTTCCTTGGGGGGAAATCTTTTGAAACCCTCCCTTCTACCCACTTTGAAGTGTACACAGTTGTCTACAGTTACTCTCGCATGCAACAAAATATCAGTAGCTAGTCTTCCAGCCTCTCACAACTGTGTGCTCACTGACTGCTCTCTCCATTCTCCCACTTTGCCTCCATGACTGTCTTTGGTGACCTTTAGGAAGTGGGTAGAATTTATTTGAACTTGAGTCTTGCTCTCTCTGTATATAGCCCAGACTGGGTTGTAACTCACTGTGTAGATTAGGCTGGCCTTGAACTCTTGGTTCTCTTTCCCAGCCTCTACAGTGCTGGGATTATGGGCATGCACCATGGCATACAACTGATGTATAAGATGAGCTGTAGCTACCTTCCTCTAGGAAAAATGTTAAGGATTGGATGGAAAACACCAATATACCCAGCCCCAACTGAAAGTTGGTTCTGGCTCAAAGTTCAAAGTGGAAGACAGTGTGGGTCCAGTCTATTGAGATCACTAAAATCCTTAATTCACACAGAGGAGGGCACAGTTACCTGCTCCCTTCAGCATGAGAAGACCCTAATTCTTCATAGACACTATGAAGAAATGAGAGTTTCAAACAACTCTTTTGTGTAAGTTTATTAGAGAAGAGCCTCTGAAATGAGCATAGCCACTTATTCTTACAGCTTCACTTGTGCTGCATCACAAATACTAAATTTGAAACCACAAGTTTTACATGCCTTCTCTGTGCCAAAGGAGTGGTTTATTTTAAGATCTAGGTCAAACACTGGTTTTTGGCTTATTGGTTGGTTCTCATTACTAGTAATAAAAATATATTGACCTGCCTTGAGTGCCGAGAGCAAACTAAAATGTAAATGGCTTGAAAGTCAAAGTGTCAGCTGGGCAGTGGTGGTGCAGGCCTGTAATCCCAGCATTCAGGAGGCAGAGGTAGGTGGATTTCTGTGAGTTCCAGGCCAGCCTTGTAGAAGGAAGTTTCTATCCCACCTGGTCCCACAGCCGTTCAGTCTCAAATAAACACACAGAGACATATTAATTATAAACTGCTGGGCCAGTGTCTCAGGCTTCTTACTAGATAGCTCTCTCTTAATTATTAACCCATTTCTATGAATCTGTGTATCTTCACAAGGTCTTGGCTTACCGGTGATGCTCCACCTGCTTGCTCCCTTGGCAGCTACATGGTGTCTCCTCTGATGACTCACTCTTTGCATCCCCCCTTCCAGAATTCTCCTAGTCTGGTAGCCCTGCCTATACTTCCCACCTGGCTACATCCTACCTGTCCATTACCCAAAATAACTTTATTCACAGCATACAGAAAGGACATCCCCCATCACAGTCTGGTCTACAAAGTGAGTTCCAGCCATCACAGTCTGGTCTATAAAATGAGTTCCAGGACAGCCAAAGCTGTTACATAGAAGAAAGAAAGAAAGAAAGAAAGAAAGAAAGAAAGAAAGAAAGAAAAAGCGTCATTTCCCTGGCTCAGAATCTTTAAAACTCGCTGGGATATTTTGAGCTAAAGTTACCCACCAGAAGGTATATACAAGCACATAATTAATTTCACACATGAAAAGACCATTGTTTGGGCAAGACCTCTTCACTCATGTTAGAAATCATGTCAGTTGAGTGGAAGGAAACAATGGGAGAGGGTGAGGATATTAAGCCCAATGGGCTTCCTGATTGTTTTAAAAAGGGAAAGAAAATTCCATGATTTGATTTGAGATTAGCTCTGCCCCTCTGCATTCCTGTTGCACATGTGTTGCTTTTTGACTAGGGAACAGGATAAAGCAGCTCCCTTCAAGAGAGTAGATGGTGATGCCCTATGGGCGTGGTGAACATCTTTAATCCCAGCACTAAGAAGGCAGAGGCAAGCAGATATCTGTGAGTTCAAGGCCAGTCTAATCTACAGAGTGAGTTCCAGGACAGCCAAAGATACACAGAGAAACCATGTCTTGGTGGAAGAGGGGTGAAGGGGCAGAGAGATATGTAGACAGAGAGAGGAAAGAGAAAAAACCAGCCTTGTGCTGCCCCAAGAAAATGCCAAGGTCCAGTCTATTCAGTAGGTAGCCTGAAAGGAATGAAAGATATACTTTTAGGATGCCTGTATACATGCACAGCACACACACACACACACACACACACACACACACACACATATACACACATACCACACTCACATATACATACACAGCACACACATAAACATACACATACATACAACCCCACACACACCACTTATACCACACACCACACACACCTACCACACCACACCACACCACACACACACACACACACACACACACACACTACAGAAAACCACATGGTTGTCTTTGCTTCCATTTACAACCTCACAATCACTCAGACTCACAAAAGTGACAGATGTCACTTTATTTGCCTCTTAGAACATGGCTTCTTAAAGGAGTGAAGAATTTAGTCATTGGATAGGAAATTGATCATTGGCTTGGAATTTAGTCATGGACTACATGGGACAACATCCCACACCAACTCCTCCTTCCCCTGCTCACTGTATGTCACTTCAGTTCCTTCTGATGAACAGTCATTCCTCTGTCGGGGTGTCACAGGTGGGCACTAGAAATTAGAAGACAAAAGTGGATGGTTACAGCCTGCTCTGTTTGACTGATTCTAAAGTTCACTGGGATCATCAATAATTTGCAGGTAGAGAGATAAAGAACACAATTTGGCTGGTCAGAGACACTGGGTCCACTCAGCCTGACCTCAATGATCTAAGCTGATGGGATTTGAGATCCCCCTCCTTTGCCTTTTAGCCAGATCCCCAATGTCTCCATTCCCCACTCACCACCTGACTTCCCATCCATTTGTGGGAGCTGCAGTGAGTCACAACACCATAATTAACATTGAAATGAGCAGTACTACAAGTTTTAAAATGTGCTTTTGTCTGACTTCCCTTGCAATATCTACAGCCATTCCCCATATCTTGAGGAGGGAATGCAGTGTGGTCAAGCAGCAGGTACTCTGGCTAGATCGCCCAGGTTTGGAAACTAGCTGTATCTCTTCCTTCTCGGTAGAACAAGCAACTAAACTCTGGTCCTGGTGTTCCCTCCTGGAAATAAATAGACAAATGATGTCCACCTCACAAAGGTCATTGTAGGTTCAGCACAAATAAAAATGAGCTAGAGAGATGACTCAGCAGGTAAAGGGCTTGCTGCCAAGTCTAACAACCTGGGTTTAATTCTCAGACCCACATGGTGAAATAGCAACCATCTCTGTCAGGTTGTCCTCCGACCGCCAAACCTGTGCTGTGGTGCTCCCTCCCATGCTAAATAAAGGGGGAAAAAACTTTACATGTAAAGAGCTAAGAGCTAAAATACTTACAATAGTGTCTTGCAAAAAAGATTGGGTGTTGCCACTTTGTGTACAGACAGAGCACAGGCCAAGTATCTGCAGAGTCACAAAGTAGTCACACTTTATTGGACACAGGGCATTGTTTGGATACATAATCTTCATGTGTGGGTGATGGGCATTTTAATCTGGAAACTCATAAATCTGCCCTAGCACTGATACCAACACAATAAATTCTGACTTGGCAACTGAAACTCCTCAGGTGGGTCCCTACCTTCTTAAGAGAACACCAGTGAAAGTTAAACCACGTCTATACAGGCCTATAATCCCAGCATCCAGAAGGTGGAGGCAGGAGAATTAGGAATTCAAGGTCACCCTGAGCTATGCAAGTCAAGTTCAAGGTCAACCTGAGATCTTGGAGAGGAGGCAGGGAAAGAAGAGAGGGAGTGGATATGGGTGGGTGTTCAGGAACAGAGATGGCCAGACTCGGAACTGCCAATCATCTGAAAGCAAACAAAGAGCCTCCTCCCAAAGCCACAGCCCCACCTTCTTTTCCCTATGAATCTAATGAAGTTACCAAGGTTCAGGAAAGCAGTGATCCCTTATGGTAGTTGTCTCTCTTCACTCCACCTCTGAGTCCCTTTGTAGTGCCCACCCGTGAGAACATTCTGGAAGTGAAATTGAATTGTGAGGGAGAGGCTGTTCCTGTCAGCATCCCCCTCTTGACCTAGAAGCCCTGATGGAGAGACAGTGACACAAAGGACTGCACTCTTTTCCCTGGGCTGTCTCCCTATGAATGTCCATCATCATCACCATCATCACCATCATCATCATCATCATCATCATCATCATCATCATCATCACCATCATCATCATCATCAAATAATAGTTACTATTTGTTTTGTGCCCAGCACTGTGAGTCAAGAACTATGCATTCATCGTATTTAATGCTCTATCGAGATGGCTAGGTAGATAAAAGCACTCACCACTGAGCTTGACTACCTGAGGACCTGAGTTTGATTCCCAGGCTCTACACAGTGGAAGGAGAGAACTGACTCCTTCAAGTGGTCCTCTGGCCTCTGAGTATGTACTGTGGTGGATTCACACTCACATACAAATAAAATTATTTTTTTAAGAAACTGAAAGTGGATAGAAGTAATTTTTCAAAAAGAACAGGGTGTGTGTGTGAGAGAGAGAGGTGAATAGGAACATAACTCATTGTAGCTACAGATGGACCTATAACTAGGAAGTGGTAAACTAATTTTAAGAAGAGAGTAATTTTATCCTTTAATCCCAGCACTCGGGAGGCAGAGGCAGGTGGATCCCTGAGTTCAAGACCAGCCTGATCTACAAAGTGAGTTCCAGGACAGCCAGAGCTGTTACACGGAGAAACCCTGAGAGAGAGAGAGAGAGAGAGAGAGAGAGAGAGAGAGAGAGAGAGAGAACCAATGAGGCTGGCCATCTGTCTAAAGCCAGCTACTTGGAAGGTCAAGGCAGCAGACTACCTGAAGCTAGCACGTGGCTAGTTCAATCACACCTTTTAATTTCCAGCTTCTATGTAGATTTGGAGCTGATGGGATCAGTGACAGATATGCTCTTTACTAGCTGTGTCACTTGTCTAGGATTATCCAGACTAAGTGGCACAGCCTGGTGGCTTGAACAACAAGACTTCCTGTGTAATAGTTCTGGAGACCAGAGGTCTGATGAGGTTAAGGCATCAGCCTGTTGGTTCCTGCTGTTGGACTGACTTGGGGATGCTGTCCCATGTCCCCTCCTCGGTTCCTGTGATTTGCTGATAATGCCTTGGCTTACAGATCTTCCTCTGATCCCTGCTTTCATAGGGTCTTTCTAATGCACATGCCTATCCCTGAGTCCAGTGCCCCTCCATTTATAAGGACACATCAGATTGTGTTTGGGCCTCATCTGAACTTGATCATCATCTTCACAGAACCCAGCTCCAGATACATCCACATATCCTGTGTGTGATGGTTAATAGTGACTGCCAACTGGGCAGGGCCTAAAATCACATAGGAGAAGTACCCCTGGGCATGTCTCTGATGGCAATTTCAGAAGGGGTTAACTGAGGTGAGGAGACCAAGGCCTGCTACACAATCTCATTGGCTAGGGATCTGGACCAAGTAAATGGGAGAACCTGAGCTAAGGTCCGGTGGTTGCTCTGTCTGCTTTGTGACTGCAGACAAAATGTGATCAGCTGCAGTGTGTCCCTACCACAGTGGACTGTATACTCCAACCATGGGCTGAAATGAAGCCATCTCTGCTCACACTGCATCACATCACACAGTGAAAAAAGTAACTAGTACACCAGGATTGAACACTACAACCTCTTTGAAGGAGGCACAATCCAACCCATAGCATTGGTGGAAAGAAAATTAAGTAGAATACTTTCTCTTTGGGGAATACTCTTTGATATTCTTAAGGGTTTGCCAAAAAACAAAAGAATCCTTCTGTTTATAGATACATCTTTCTCATGAAGACACTGCATTTTCATTCTGACCTTTTATGTGTCAGAGTGTATATGTCTGTATGTCTGTGTGTCTGCGTCTCTGTTTCTTTGTGTCTGAGTATATGTGTGTGAGTATATGTGTATATCTATTATCTATCTATCTATTTACCATCATTATCTAACATCTATCTACCTATCTATCTACATATCTATACATATATCTATCATCTATGTATCTATCTATCATACATCATCTATCTATCTATCTATCTATCTATCTATCTATCTATCTATCTATCTATCTCTACCTCCCCTACCCTCATCTCCTGTGTGTCTTTGTCTATGTGTGCTCTTGCTAATTCTGACCATTGCATCCTACTTATTAACAAGACCTTTGCTCACAGGGCCAACCTGGAGATTAACTATTCCAAAGGACTTCAGAAACTGGCAGTCAAGCTAAGCAAAGCACTACAGAGCACAAATAAAAAGTAAGTACCATGACAAAGGTAAGGAAAAAATCCTTTTTTAAAAAAATTTAAGAGTGAAAAGTTCTCACGCACAATTTTTTCCCACACACATGGCAGGTACAATCCCACCAAGCATGGCTTGCAGGTCTTCGGGACTTATTCTGGGACAGGCATTGTCTCAAATGCTTAGTGGATTATAACAACCCTTGAAAGTCCTTGTTTGTTTTTTGTTTTTCCAGACAGGGTTTCTCTTCTCTGTGTAGCTTTGGAGCCTGCCCTGGCACTTGCTCTGTAGACCAGGCTGACCTCAAACTCACAGAAATCCACCTGCCTCTGCCTCCTGAGTGTTTGGGATTAAAGGCGTTGCCACCACCACCTGGCTGGTAATGCTTTTTCATCTAGAAAGTAGTGTCAAACCAGAAGGTCTTAGAGGCAGTAAGTGTGAATTCCCCATTATCTCTAGTCTGTGACTTTTGACAAGGATCTTGGTCTCCCTGTGCCTAGCCACTGCTTCCTGTACAGGGTGCAGATGTGCTCATCTGTATATTTGAGTGTATATATGGCTTGTGTTGTCATGAAGCCTGAATGGCAAATGAAGTAAACTGTATATGAAGGGCTTAGCATGGGAGGCACAAACACTCAGTATTTTGCCACAATAAGAACTGTCCATTAATGATAACTTGCTATGACGCTTCTGTACTAATGCATGCAGATATGATCCTGAACTTGAAGTGTTCTTGCTGAGACACCTCCTGGTGAAGATAAGAGAGGGGGAGAAAAGTTTCCCACTTCTGCTTGGGCACCATTGTGATGATAGCAAATTGCTTGGAAACTGCTCTGGTTTTTGCTCCACTTTTATTTTTAGGGCAATATCTTGGTAGACTACAAAGAAGTCAGTGCAATGGTGTGGTGGGGTTAGACTTCCACTTGGACTTCCCAGTTTAAACTCTAGTTGTACCACTTACCAGGTGAGTGGTCTTGGACAATTCATTTTTTGTCTAAATGTCTCCTTAAGACGGAAATGAAACTGAATGCAGTGATGCTGATGTAAGTCTGCTAAGGCAGGAGGATTGCCATGAGTTTGAAGCCACCTTAGGCTACATAGGGAATCACACCAGTATGGCTACAGTGTGAGACCCCTGCCTGAAAGAAACATGAATAATGATAATAAATATACTATAACATAAAAACAAAAATAAAACCCATTCCGCACAGTTACTGAATTCAATGAAATAATACAAGTCTACTTAGCAGGACACCTAATGAGGAGGGAAATTCCATGAATGGCCATTTTGATTTTGATTCTAATAATTCAGTTACCTCCTAAATGCCACTATAGCAACCCTGGCATCAAAATAGCAGACATGTTCAGAATGGCCAGTGAGTTAGCACTGGTGTAGTGTTTAGTGGTAAAAGCTAGTTGAGTATTTCTCTATATCAAATCTTTGTTAGATGCTTGCACAGATATCCCAATGTGTTATTTTACAAGATCAGTTTAACGAGGCTCAGAAAAGCCAAGTGAGTCTTCCAGGGTCACAGAAGAAACCAGGACCAGAGAGATATCTGCTTTCCGACCTGGGCTCTGGGCTCTCTGGGGCCCACACATACATTTCCTGTCAAGCCATCCAGCAGCTCTGAAATCACCTGGGAGGTTCTTTTTGTGGAATATTCCTCATATCCTTAATAAACACGATTATATTTGGTTTAATGTACATGAAATAATAAACACTTATTTGTTGTTGGAGTCAATGTCCCATGTAACCTGAGCTGATCACAAATTCCTCATGTAACCTTGGATGGCCTGATCCTCCTGCCTCCACCTCTCAGTTGCTGGGATTACGGGTGCAAGCCACCTCATCTAGACCCACTAATTTTAAGTGTAGGTTTGGTCCAGTTTAATAGAGGTATACACTACAGAACTAACCACCACAAAAGTCAGACATTTCAACACACCCCAAGTTGCTTCTTCTTGTTTATATCCCTGCACTCACTGTCACCAAACAACCACTCGCCCCTTCATGGGAATATGGATTAATTTTATCTTTCCCATGATTTCCGGTCTCTGGAAGCACGCAGTAGGCACACTTTGGTGCTGGTTTAGATTGTAGAAATCCTGGTCTCTGGTCTGGTTTTCCCATTGTCCTGGTGCAGGATGAAGACTCGGCCACTGGAGGCGCATTTCTGCTCCACTCCGATTCTGACCAGAATGCAACTTCCTCCCTTCCTCTCCATCAAAAGTGCCATGGGCCCTGTCCCTGCAGTTAACTGAGGCAATTTGTCCTCACTTCCAAGGATGCCTTATGAACTCCTAAGAGCTGACTCCTGCTATGGGAGAAAATAATATCAGGCTTCCCTGTCCTCCCTCTATGCCTCCAGGAACAAGGCACTGACCCTCTTTGTGTTCATGGACACAAAGGACCAGGGAAGATCTGAGGCTGTCTTAAAAGTCAGCCATGGTGCAGGATTTGGACTCCAACCCCAAGAGCAACACAAACAACGTGCTAGGGCTCAAATTCTGTGTCACTTACGTCCTGAAAGACCTGGTTTATTGGTTTATTCACCTGTAAAATGAGGGACCAGAAAAGATTTGTCTGTGAGGGTTCTCTAAATTCCTCCCCTTCACCTGTTCCTTTCCCCGGCCACTTTATTTCCCTGATTTTATGCAGACATAAAATAGAAGATGAAAATCCAAATGGAAAAAAAATTAAAAGAAAGATTGGGGGAAAACAGTGTGTATAATGTCTGTGGTGCAAATAAATATACTGGCTGAATTTAATCTCATGGAGAAATTGAAACTGCAGCAAGGGAACTAATAGGAGATTGAAGGCAGTTCATGGACTGTAATGCTTGATTTCTCAGCTCTCACTAGGAAATGACACCTCCACCCCCCCCCCCCTTTTTTTTTTTTTGTCTCTAGCTGTCTCAGCAATGCCTGGGCCTGGGCCTCAGAGAGCATGAAATCTGCAGCAGACCTACATCAGTGAGTGCTTCCAGGAACTCTGGCCCTGTACCTCACCCACCTCCCCACACCCACACCTTTGTCCCCAACCCTGAAGGGAGGTGTCACACATTTAGAGTGTGTGGGTGCCGATGCCCCACATCAAACCTGCACTGGATAAGCTATAACTTGCCACTCATCTCCCTAGAAATGTATTAGGGCAGTAGATGGAAACCCCGGACAATGATTTGCAACCTTATGTTCTATTTCCAGAAAACTTGGCAAAGCAATTGAGTTGGAAGCAATAAAGCCTACGCATCAAATCCTGAGTATGCAAGAGAAGAAGAGAAAATCGGTGAGTCAGAGCTTCTCTTTTCTCTTAAAAGCAAGATTTCTAGGGCTGGGTATAACTCAGTGGCAAAAAAAAACCCCAAAAATCAAAAAACAAAAAAACGAAATAAACACTTGATACTCATGCTTGAGGCCTTAGGTTCAAACCCCGGCATAATAAAAATGTTCTTAACAAACAAACTTTCAACGGAGAGGAAGGTGAATCTCTGTGCATTTTAGGCTAGCAAGTTTCACATATGATATTAAATGAAAACACAATATGAAAGAAATCTAATAAGTAATAGAATCTCAACTGGAAGATCCTTCCCAAAATGTTAACAAGAATTACTTTGAGATGATAAAATTGGAGGTTATTTTCAATTTTTTTGATACTTATAAAATGGTCTTTTCAATTTTGTTAACTCTATCACTGCCATGAACCCAATTTGTTCTAAATGATACTTTTCTGCTTGCCAATGTGAGATTACTTCAAGGCAATGATAGTTACAACTCTTGAATATTCTCAAGACTAAGGGAAGTACTAGGCTGGTTGGCATCAGCATGTCTCCTGCCATGCTGCAGAAATAGGTTTTAATCTATGAGTTTTTATATTCATGGACATTTAATTAATAACAGTGACTAAGCAAGAAAGCAATAATTTTTCTTCCTGCTTTTCTTTTTGATAGCTTGATAATGAAGTTGAAAAGACAGCAAATCTTGTTATTAACAACTGGAATCAGCAAATCAAGGCAAGTATATACAAACAGCATTTACATAAACTCAGTTTTTAGGACAGAACTTCTTGCTTTTGTGCACACGTATTGGTGTTTCCTACTGCTTTTCTGCACACCTATTGAAAAGAAAATAACTTTGTTATCCAAGTTATCCAAGGCAGAGGATGGCTCAAAGTATGGTTACTGTTTATGGAAATATTTACGTGGCATTTCTTACATGCCAAGAACTGCATGTTTGTATATTCAATCATTACACCAGTGAAGGTGATACATGACTTTGGGCTGTCAAGGTTATTTCCAAGGTTTTGAATCTGGTTAATGGTTAAACTAAGAAGTCTTAGAAGTTCTTGGACTCCAGAGTCATTGCTCTTTTCCATCATATTATATTGGCTGCCTCTCTGTGAAGTTTGCAATTTAGGTAAAGTAGCAAACTCCATTTTGGTTTTTCATTTGTATAGGCTGCTAGTGATCTCTACCTTGCTATGGAATGTAAAGAGTGTGGTGATCTCAAAGGGAACACGTGTATTCATTCTACAAGTGCACATGGTTTACCTTCTGTAAACACTACACTAAGGCCTGCTCCTAGTTTTCAATTACTTGAAAACTTAGTTGGCTAGATAACAAATGCAGGAAACAGCACATGAGTCCTTCTAGATGAATTTTGATTTGGTGTGAGAAGCTAGAGAATTCCATTACTGGTTCTTAAGCTACAGAAACAGCAGATGAGGTCCACATGTACAGAAGATTACTCTGGAATAATCCAGTGTAGGAGGAGTTGCTTTGAGTAAGAAGGATGAGAGGCCGGGGAATCTGCTAAGAAAACCCAACCATGTCCTTGAAGAAGACATACATTCCAAGAGTTGAACTCTTTCTTTTCATATCCCAAATGTTAATAACCCAAAATAACCTTTGCAAGTAAACAGCCACCTATACCAAATATGCAGAGATGCCCTCAGAAGCAGCTTTCCTCAGGCTTGTTTCTGAAGCTTCTGCTGAAATCGAAGACTCCAGAGACCAAGATCAGAACTGTTCTAGACAGACAAATTCCTACCCTTGTGGTAGATGTACTGATAAAGAGGCCAGGAAAGTCACATTGAGAGCATATCTCAGAGTCCAACAAAAGCATGCAAACACTTGTCTTTAATTTTGCTCTTGATTTTCTGTTTTTTTTTTTTAAAGTGGGGGGGGCTTGTTTTGAAAAAACAATCATCTGTAAACACTGAGTTCTCACAGGAAAGTCAATACAATGGATCAAAAGCTAGAGACAATGTTCTATAGTTGTTTACTTCAAAGAAGAAAAAGCACCTCCTACTATTCCCCAGTTTCTGATAAGTAGCTTTTCTAAACAAAATGTTTTTATTGTTTTATGAAGAATAACAGTCATTAGATCACACGAAATTCTTGAGCTGTAATCATTTCCTCCCTCATTTCAATGCAAGAAGAGGTTCCACATGTCAATTGTGAAGTGCATGTCTGCTTTGCAGACAAAATTGCAAATTCTGAAGGACTAAGTACTCTTGACTCACTCATTTATCATCAGGCATATGATGGGATGGATAGAGGAGGGGCTGTGAGCAGCTTGTTCCTTGAACTCCCTTGTGTAGCATCTTCACAAGTTTCAGGGAAGCTTTGCTGCTGATTCCCAAGGACAGAGAGTCCTGGACTTTCTCCCGACATTATTTCATTTTATAGTCTGAACTCTTAGTCTGGGCTTGGTTGTGTGTGCCTGTAATTCCAGCACTCGAGAGCCCAAAGCCCCAGAGGAGTTCAAGGTGAGTTAGCAAATGTCTAACTCTCTTGCATATAATACCCAATATCATGACAAAATACACAGTGGTACCCTACCAATATATTTGCTGCTGTAGTATTTTGAGTATATTTTGAGATGAAGGATGGAAACAAAAAAGTAAAATCTCACAATCATTTACAAACAGACCTCATTCCAAAACGGAAGAGCTTTTCTCTAAATAGCAGTTTCTGCTTCTTTTTTCTTTTTCCGTTCTCTTGATCCTATGTTTCTGTCTCTAGGCTAAGAAAAAATTAATGATGAGTACCAAGAAGCATGAAGCACTTTTCCACCTTGTAGAAAGCTCCAAGCAGTCCGTGACCCAGAAGGAGAAACAGAAGGTGAGGAGCCATCATGGCAGTGGGTATACTTCCCTCCCCAGGAATACAGTGAACTGGCTGGCCCCTCCTTCTGTAGGGATCCATAAGTTGGCCAAGCATGAAAAGCCACTTCAAAAGTCACTCTGGGCTTCATAAGATTTCTGAACTGTATCACTAACATGGCATATTAGACTTGTAGTGCCCCCAGCTTTGATAGAAAACCCTATGTTTTAAAAGAAAATCTCAGCTCCCACTCCAAATAAGTATATATCCTTTATGTTTATAGGATACTATATATATCATTTTGCATATTATACTAATATGTTGTGAACATTATAAAACAAAAGGTAGAAATGCTTATAAGATGAGAGAAAAATAAAATGACATTTGAGGTGGTTAGCTAGCCCTGGTATGTTCATATAACCAGGAAATCATAGTCATTAAATAAGTATGCAAATAAAATACACCCTTGAGGGAAGGTAAGGAATTAATAACAGGAAACATAAATTTACATTCCTACCATTCATCTTGGACATTTGAACTTTTTTAGATAGTAAGTTATTACATTTTACATTAAGTTCTTGTCACATCTTCCTTCATCACCCAGATCTTTTCCCTGTGAACACTGATGTATTTGTATCCATGAGCAGAAGAGAGGATCCACTGAGCTGAGCTTGTTTCTTCATGTTTTCTTTCTTAGCGAAAACAACCAAGCATTCCTGACAGAAATGCTTTAAAGACACTAGAGAGCTTGTCGTTAACTTACTTAAAGTCAGGTAATGCATGTAGAAACCCACAGGATCCAGACATATACTAATGGACCACGAGTTCTGTGGTGCTGGAAATGAAGGACATTGTGAGGCCACACAGCCTTCCTGTTGCAGAGCCCCTGATTCTCCAAGGCCACTTCAGAATGCTAACTGTCCATGTGTAGGCCACAACACTGATGGGTTAAATAAGAGTAAACCAGACAACTATGTTCTTAGACAAAAATTGAACACAAGTGATGTTGGGCTGTACCTCAAAAGATTAACTAGCCTAACTCTTGTAGTATGTGTTTCATATTGGAAACTAAAACATCCCATGCTTCCTCCCCCAAGGTAAGCAGCCCAGCACCATTATAGTCCCAAAGATTCTTAAAAGGGAAAAGAAAATTGTCATTGATAGTGGCTCTATCATTTCATCTGAAGAAATTGTTAGCTGAATAACTTAAATTCACTGTTAGCAAGATTTGGAAGGTTCTTATTTCTTCATGTGTCAGTCTTCACAGTTCAAAATGATCAGAACAAGTGTTGAATAATGAGCAGCCACGGAGGAAGCTAATTCATAATATGTAGAGATTCTCAGCACCCCGACACGTCCAGCCTTCCCAGCCCTCATTAGAAGCTATTCTTCCTTGATGTCAAGCAATAGCAACAACAGAAAAGCTGGTACAGCTGAGGGGTGCATTTCTTTTTCCATCATTAGTAGCTTCCCTGAGGGGATGGAGCCGGGAAGTCGCCAGTGCCCTCCACCCACCTTCCTACAGCAGATCTGTAACCATAATCTTTGAGTGTAATGACTCCACAGATCCTTCCCATAGTCACTGCTTAAACTATCACTTGCCTTTTGCTTGTTTTTTTTTTTTTTTATTTGAAGTGAACACCAGACCTGCCTTTCATTTCTCAAGCACATGGAAGCACCCTATCATCAGTTAAGTCTCCCCTGCACCGCTCAGTGGTTCTTCCTGTTTTCCTGTTAAGCAATCCCAGTTCTGCTGAGGAAGCCAGCCTAGACCCACATCTTCTTCCCCCACCCATGTTTTCTACCCACTCCCAAAGGACTGGGTCATTTCTTACCTCACTACCCACTTTTAGTGGGTGTCTACAAGGGAGAGCCAAGTTCATCCTGTGTTCTGAGGCTATGCCACCCTGTTTCTCAGAGCTTCTTATTTATTTTATTTTATTTTTGTTTTTAGCCTATCCTGGCAGGCTGGCCTTGAACTCACCGAGATCCGCCTGCCTCTGCTTCCCGAGTGCTGGGATTAAAGGCATGCGCCACCAATGCCCGGCGTCAGAGCCTCTTCTTTTTACCCTTCTTGTCCTGTCTTAGACAACACCCTCCTGACCCACAATGGTTCTTCCCTCAGTCTTCTGAATTCTCAGGTCTGTCTTGCTCTGTTTGAGCTGCTATAAGAAGTTACCATAGCCTGGGCAACTTGAACAGCAGAATGTATTCCTCATAGCTTTAAGACAAAAATCTAAATAAAATGATTTAACTAACCCACAAACAAAAAATATCACACAGCTAGTTGAAGGAAGTCGCTCAAACACCTGCCCAATGAGTACATCTTACTGAACTTCTATACAGTCAGAATGGCCATGGTTCTAGAATCCTAGACATCAGGAGCCATCATCTTTTGATTCTGGTGAGTGCCAAAACTTCGGGCATCTCTTCATAGCCTCATAAGGCAAAGAGAGCTCTGGGTTCCTCTCATAAGGCCGTTGATCTCATTCATGAGGGCTCCACTCTTGAGACGTCCCCAAAGACTCCCACTTCTAATGCAACGATGTAGAGAAGTGAGGATTCAACATGCAAATTTGGGGACACTCATCCACTTACTCCAATGCACCTCCTGCCTTGGAAGAGCATGAGGAGTCAGAGGCAACTTTTCATGATCCATTCAACTGCATCATTCTCTCTCCTGGCACTAAGATATATTTGAAGGGTTATCTGCTCCCTGTCTCCACTTCCCTGTTCATTTCTCAAGCTATCCCACAAACTTCTTAGAAGTATTGCACATCATTTATCTCCCCTTCTGGAGACAGTCTCTTCTTTTAACTTTATCAGTATCACATTCTTGGTCCCTTTACATCTCTGGACATTTTATCTTTGGCTCCTTTATGGATGTCATTTTTTGCCACCTGGCCCTTACATATTGCTGTATCTGAGGATTTCTCCCCAGGCCCTCTCTGTTTAATTCATTGTTGTGTCTCCAGTATCCAACAAAAAGATTTTCACTATCAGGCACTCAATAAATAATAGCTTCTCAATGTATAAACTGCCAAGGCTTCAACTCTCATTTCTATACTGACAATGCCTAAATTTTTATCTCTAGCCATATCCGTCTCTACACTGTCTCCTGGCACCTCTAAAAATCAACTCTTTCTACCTAAGGCAAGTCTTTCCCCCCATGTTTTCTGGGTCTCTGGCTATCATTAGCTGCCACACCCTTCCAATTCTAACCCTTAGACCAATTGCTTCTTGAGCCTGTTGACGTATATGCATCTCCCTGACACCATTCACCCTGGCCACAACCATCATTTGCCTGGATTACTGCAACTAGCAGGCAGGCTTCTTTGCCTTTAGTGTTGGCTCTTACTGTCACTCACATACAGGGTGACTTTCCTGAAACTAAAGTCATCTGCATTCATCCTCTTATGAAATGTCTTTGAACGTTTTCTGGTGGCTTCAGCATATTGCTTATACTCTGTTATGTGACCCATTAGGGCCTTTCCTGACTTGGCCTTGCCTCCCACTCCACCAGTGTCTCTGGCTGTTCTCTCTATGTCCCCCGGGCTTATCAGTTCTTTCCTGTATCAGGGCACTATGTTGTTATCAGGTCAAAATTCACAAGCCCATGTTTCCACAGATAGATGTGGCTCATTACACCTGAAATACAAAACTGAATGTGCCTTGTATAGGTCATACATCACAGAACAGCAGTGTATTGACTGGAATAATAAAGTGAATAGTATTAGTATTCAGCATCTTGAATGAATGTTCCCTATTATTGTAACATTAGTCACAATGTCCTTAAACATAAAGAGTGTCATTCATAAAATAATAAAAAAAGGCCTCTGTCTCTGTCCTTGAAACTGCTAACATCTGGAAGGTTCTCCATGGCCCTTCAAGTGTAGCTGGAGGAACATATGCACGAGTGTCATCTGAGAGCCTACTACAAACTCATTACAGAGCTAGATAATGCTTGAATTTCTCTACTGGGGGCCCTAGAAGTTGCTACTGTAGAAATACCAGTTCATACCCAAGAATACTAAAGTTGAAAATCATTCATGCAATCCAAATCTTCATTTCTCAGAAGTGGAATTGCTTGCCTGGACGTTTCCATTAGTCATTCCAACTACTGTGATCCAAAGAGTTTTTCATTACCTTGATTTCCCAGTGACTTAGCAATCAGAATAGCAAATATCATGGATGGGACTATTTATGAGGGACAGATCCTTGGAGAGCAAAATGAAAGGAAACTATGTGTCTGCCCATCCTTAACTTGAAGCTAACATGAGCACGAATCTTAGGCTAGTGTTGTAGTAGGTGTCAGATACATGGTGCAATATGTATCTCACATGTATTACCTTACTGAATCCACCCAACAACTAAATGAAGTGGGGGCCATTATTCCCATCAGAGATGTAAAACAATCCTGTAGCTTATGAAAGTGAACTTCTCCTGCAGCAGAAATGAGACTTCTGATGCATGATGCCTCATTTCAAGGTTCTACTTCTAGTTTTACAATGAAAGTTTGGTACCCTATCATAGAAATAGTTCTAAAATTTATATGAGCAAACAGGTCTCTACTTTTCCTGGGAAGGAATGGAGAAACTTACAAGCTGTCCCAGTCGATTGCTGTTGGAGACCCAAGACCTGCATTGTAAATTATCAAATTCAGTCATTTGGCCTTCTTGATGTGAGGGATGTGGACAAATCACTTCATGTTTGAGAATTCCATTTCTTCAAGCACAAAACTGGGAGTACACCGAGACTACATTCAATGTCCATTAGTCGTTTCAAAAACAAAACAAAACCGAAAACCTAAGTTTTGTCTTCTGCAGTAATTATTACTTGTAAAGAGCTATGGAGTGGGAAACATTGGGCCACATATGATTCATGGAATGACAAGAGCTCTCTTGTAGATATGTCAATGACTGTGTGACTCTGATATTTTACTTTAGCTCCTCAACAAACTGAAAAAATCGACTGAAAAATTGGAAAAGGAAGATGAAAGTTACTACCAAAAAAACATGGCAGGGTATTCGACTAGACTGAAGTGGGAGAGCACGCTGGAAAACAGCTACAAGGTAAGTTAGATATTCAGATTCCCCAAGACAGAAGTGGGAGAGCACGCTGGAAAACAGCTACAAGGTAAGTTAGATATTCACAGTTTTCCTCTTCCAGTGGGTTTTGTGTAACTTTGGAGGTGAAGATTGGATTACATTCATGAGACCTGATTTCTTTCTTAGCTATGATACTCACTTGTAGTCTGGCACTAGACAAACCACTTTCCTTCTCATTGTTTCCATTTCTCCATGAACCTAATCATATTCATGTGCATCATTAGCCAGAGTTTCTGTTTCTAATTCCCAGTGGAGACTAAGCCAACATCAAAAAGTTCTATCCAGGTAGAATATAAGTTAAGATTTAGGTATTAGAGATTCAGAATGGAGTTTTAGCTGACTCAAGCAGTGATCATGTATGGAGTTTTCTGCATTGGACGTTTTGTTGGACAAGCAATATATAACAATGAATAAGGTATTAACCCAAAACCTTAAAAGTGATTGTTAGTAACACAGACACACAAAGAAAGAATTATGGGGGCTGGAGAGATTACTCTGTGGTTAAGAGCACTGGCTGCTCTTCCAGAAGATCCTGGTTCAATTCTCAGCACCTACATGTCAGTTCACAATCATCTGTAATTCCAGGTCCAGTGGATCTGATACCCTCTTCTGGTCTCTGCAGTCACTGCATATGTGTGCTTCACATATAAACATTCAGGCACCATACCTACACATGCAAAAATTTTTTAAAAAATTTTCTGTAAAAGAATGAACTGTGTCAAATTGACAAAGACAGGCAAAGTCACAAAGGGAAAAATCACCACTAAACATATGAAAAGATAGTCTTGTGTCAAAATTAGGAAGTGACAATACCTAGTATTATCAAGGATGTCAGAAAATAAGAATTCTTAAACCTTTTTGATGAGAATAATTTAATAGTATCTGAGAAAGCAGTAATGTGGCTTTACCTACAATACAGAAGTTCCTTTGCAGAGGTCCATCCTGAAAAAAAATATTTAACCTGTACTTCAATAGTGAGGCATAAAAGTATTTATTACAGAATAGTTTATAATTAGATGGTGAAAAACATTGCACCCAATCTTCATGCCCATCAATAGAACACTCTTAAAATATGTGCTAATTTATAAAGTAGGTCAGTTTCCAGCTATAAATAAACCAAGCCTATATTTAAAAATGAGTTAACCTCCAAACAATGATATTATAGAAAAACAAATCATTTATATATCCATGTAGAAAAATTTCAACTCACACCTAACCTATACTGAGTTGATGTATTTGTAAACAGATATATAGTGTCCAGACCTATGTTGAACCAGGGAAATGGAGCTCCTGGTAGGAATAAAACAGGGCTACAATATACAGTCACTCAGCTTCTGAAGGGCTCCTGATAAACCAATGTAGCCACTTCCTAGGTTAAAATCTACTTCAAATATATATGAAGAGTTTTACTGAACTCTTGGTAAATCAACACAAGCATCATCATTGTCCTAGTTAGGTTCCTATTGCTATAATAAAACATGATGGCCATTAGCAACCTGAGGAGGAAAGGGTTTATTTGGCTTACAGGTTACAGTCCATCATTGGGGGATTCCCATGCAGGAACCTGAATGCAGGAACTCAAGTAGACCATGGAGGAACTCTGCTTACTGTTTTTCTCTCTAGGGCTTGTTTAGCTACCTTTCTCATACAGACCAGGACTATTCCACAAGGGTGAAACTACCTACAGTGGGCTGGGCCTTCCTTTTTTTACCACTAATCAAGAAAATGCTCCACAAGCTTAACTTGCCCATTGGATGGGGGCATTTTTCTCAGTTAAGATCCTTCTTCAAAGATGACCCTAGCTTATAGCAATTTGACAAAACAAACCAAAACCAAAAACCAAAAAGCAATCAGCATAATCATGAAGCAATTATCAACTCTGGTTGATATGAACTTGAATATTTTTGTTTCATTTTTGTCTATATGCTAAGTTTTTTTAAAGGTTTAAAACAGTTACATTTGAAAGAAAAAACAAACAAACATGTAACCTAGGGACAAACCTGTATGAAGTGCCTGGCATTCAGTGAGTAAACTAGGTAAGTTCATGTGCATTATATTTTATTTCACAACCTTATGAGGAAAATAATAATTTTATTCCCTTTTCTCCCTGAGAAAAGTTAGGCAAGAGAAGCGAAGCTGCTTGCCCAACATAGTTTGAGATTCAGCATGCTCTTACTCCAGTAAGAGCTAGGGAAGGGAAGGCTATAAGCAAGCAAAGACTGAAGGGCTGAATGGTCTCTTGAATTGAGTCACTTTCAGGGTGGGGTAGATGCAGAATTAGAGAAGAGATGGGATCTCCTACCAAAGAGAAACGGAAATGAGGACACAAGAGGAAGCTCTTCCTTCATCCAGTTATTCCTTTTTTGTTTTGTTGTTGTTATTGAGACAAGGTCTCACTCTGCAGTCCAAGGTGGCCTTCAGTTCATGGTGGTCCTCCTGCACTAGCCTCTCAAGTACTGGGATTCTAAGTGTGGACTTCTGCATGGATAATTGCACCATTGAACACAGGATCCTGGCACATCCCTTGTTTGTGCTGAGTAGATTCCAGATGCAGATGATGAAGGATCCGAATCCTAACTCTATCCATGGGAAGTCTGGCCTCTGACCTTGTCTCTACTACCAGGACTTCCAATGAAGCTATAGCTTTCCACAAGGCCGGCTTCCAAGAATGGCTCTGGTGACAGATGTCTAGGCACTCTTCAAGGGCTACAAGAAAAAAACATGCGAATGTATCTCCTTCATCTCCCTCACCCTGTACCTATGACACAGCAGTAGGTGACAGCAGCAGGTCTTCCTTGTCACAACTGACATCAGACTGGTGTGGGGTATTACTGACACTGTTACTATCACAGGATTTTACTAGTTCTAACTCCTTTATCTGTCTCCTTTTCTCCAGTTAAGAGCCTCTCATACCCACAATCCTAGCATTCAGGAGGCAGACGCAGCATGGCTACCTCAAGTCTGAGGCCAGTTTGGTTACACAGCAAGTTCCAGGCCAGCTAGTATCATTTAACAAGACCCCATTTCAGAAAAATATGAGTCCTCCTCCCCCTATCTACTCTCTCTTTCAGCAGTTCTGTATTTTATTTGAATTGCATCATTCTGGAAATTGTCATCTTTCCTTGCAAAGACATGCTATGGTAACAAGATATGCATTCATTTACCTTCCAAAGGAGCTTCTTTCAACCTGAGCTTTCTTAATAGAACTGAAGTTGTGCACAGAATCTACTCAAAGCATAGTACTCAGAAAAGCAGGATTTCCTCTTACTTCTCTTGTGTCCCTGTCCCACTGTGTGGTTGGCCACTGGGGTCTGCTCTTCCTCTCCTGTAGTTGTTACAGCCCCTGTAATCCTAACTTCCTCTGAGCTGTCTTCTGGCTGGCCACACTCACTGGACCTGAATGGTGACAACCTCTAGTGTCCTCCCTGCTCCACACTGACCCTCAAGAATGATGTTCTCACTTGGCAGTACCTTGGCTTCTATGTATTTAGTCTGTATCCACAAGTCACTGACTCACATGTTTCTGTACATTCAATGTCTTTTGTATATTTATAAATCCAAGCATGAAATGTTAAATTCGTGAAGACATGTAACATGTACAGAAATGCACCAAGTCAGTGCATTATCTTGGAGGGGAAGAAATATGAGTGGTTTTTAGGATGTATTTTTTTGTGTTTGTCTGTTAAAATTCACCCAGACATGGTGACTCAGAACCTCTGCCTGGTAACTTCTAGGCATGCTGTAGTTTGAAGTTCCTGCTATGAAAACAGCATGATACATCTTCTGTTTGAAATCAGTTCAAATGAAAATGCAACCCCTCCAAGATCCTCTATTAGTTCCCTGAGGCCGGAGCAGCAGAAACTGAAGAGAATGAATGAAGAACATGAATTACATGAGCCCAGACAGGCTCTAAATCTGCCATCCCTTGGTAACTCTCTGACCACACTCCCTTCGCCTGTGCTGTCAAACAGCTGGAGGCCCTCCAGAATGTCTTGTCTCTCTATCAACTCTTTTTATACAGAGAGAACAAGACACAAGAAAGCAATAACTCATTGAATGAGATATGGATTTTCCCCTTTGCACAGTGGAATTTATTTCTGCCTCTTCTCATGAGCAAACACAAATCATTTTAATGATTTCTCTGAAATGTAATTAAGGCTGTTAAACATCCCCATCTCTACAAAAGGACATGAGTTATTCTAATCTCAGATTGATGATTGTGGTTCTGTACTTATCGATGTAAAGCAACAGCTATTTCCCAGAGTGCAACGTGTTCAAAGCTTGACTTATATTCCCTACCCCCACATCCTTGGCCTGCATTGCTAAACTGGAACAACCAGGTTTTTAAAAGTAGGATAAGGACTTTTTTCCTTTTAAAGGTGGTCCAAACCAATGAACTGCATTTGTCTTACATGTTTGTTATGAGAAGTCTTAATTCTGCCTTAGAGGAATCAATCTGTCTGATAGGCTATTCTTCAGTGTCTTTAATTCTTTATCTGGAAGGCAGAAGGACAATTGGTCACATTCAAATTGCTGATGCCTGTGATTTTAGAGGAAGTCTCAGGAGATACTGGCAATTGCAGAGGCACTTGGCTCCCCTGACATACAAAAACAGTGTAGCCGTCTAATCAGATGGCTGTGAGGGTATAACTGCAGGCTTCCCACCAAAATGTCAGGGTATGGGGCAAAAAAGTCCATATTTGTTGTTGTTGATTGTTTGGCTGCTTCCATTTGAAGAAACATTAAAATGATCTTATATCGATAAATAAATTATAACCTACATTACACTGGAATATCATTCAAAAGACATATCTGCAACATGGATGGACTTTAAAGACACATTTGATGATTCTTCTGCTTGAAAACTACATTAGTCAAGTTCAGAGAGTGAGAAAGTAGAATAGTACCGGGCGGGGCCGGGAGGAGGGGGATAGGCAGTTGTTACTTAGTGGGTGTAAAATATATAGTGGTGTGGAGATTGTGCTGCTCAGGGTTACAGAGCAATGCAAATGTTCTTAGGAACAGTGAACTGTATCTTTAAAATGATGCTGTTTATATTATGTAAATCTTATCATAGTTAAAATTTAAATTCAGATTGCAAAGGTTGGCAGCTATGAACAACAGATTAAATAATGGCACAAGGATGTAGGGCACCAAATGATCAAGCCAGGGGTGACCTTGGACTTTATGCTGCCCCACCTGTTAACCCAAAGCCTTGCTTCCCAGCCATCCTTCTTCTTTGTGGCAATGATATCCACCAATTTTCCTAGAGTTTTGACCTTACCAAAACTGCCTGTGGAGAATGGTGTCTTCTCCACAGATGACAGACACCTGCCATCTCTGTCAAAGCTCAAAGTCCCCTGGGCATCTGTAGTGCACTGTTCCAACACGGCCTATAAACCTCCCCTGAACACTTTACCTAACCTCAGTTGTTGAACCTCTCCACCCATTCTAAAAGCCACAAATCAGCAAATGAGTGGCGAGAGTCCAGTAACTTACTTGGTCTAGAATGCTAGTAGCCAGCAAAGCAACAGTATAACCTTAACAAGGTTAACAAGTGTGTGCTCCTTACTTCCTTATTCACCCTTGCTAGCTAAAAGTCATCAAACTCCAGTTATGGAATTTTTGTTATCCCACATAGAATGTGAAGGTCATATTCTTACCTCTAATAGACTCTGACACCTCAGGTCAAATATAGGTTAGCATTAAGGACTGATTATAATTAAAAATTGCACTCTTATCAAATAGTTCTTTTGAAGACTAGAGAATGGGGCCTGGAGAGATGGCTCAGTGGTTAAAGAGCTCCTCAGGCACCGGACACACAAATGGCACAAACACATAGGCAAAACACTCATACAATTAGACAAATATGTTTAAAATACCAAAGGATGTTCCCTACTATGCTATCTTGCATAGTGCTGGGATATCCTACACAATGGTACTAGGGGAGAAAATTAATCAACAGGCTTACCCAGCTATGAATGCTATAAGTTACAGTAAAGATTAGCCTGGGAATTGATATGCCCACTGGTGCAGGAGTGGCATGGATGTTATAGGAGTAAATAAATGCTTTCTAACTGGATTTAAAGCCTGTTCTGTCAGATAGAACGCATGATATCACTAACAAGGCCAAAATCCTGGGGCTAGCTAGATGGTGGGCCTAGGGGAAACACTAATATCCTGCTAAATGAATATAGTCATAAACTACCCCTGGAGTTCTTACCTTTGTATCCATTAGATTAGTTCATCTCTTGACACTCATCAGAGAAGCTTGTTTTTGCAGTAGATGGCTAAAGCAGAGTGCAGAGAATTAGATTCTGGGATGCTCAGCCCTAAATGGGACATTTATGGCACACACAATGACCACAATCATTGTGGAAGAGGGAACAGAATGACTAAAAGTGCCAAAGAGAATGGGCACATGCATTCAAACAGTGTCTGCTGGAGGACAGCACTGTTGCACACATGAACTCACAACAGCTGTGGCTGTGTGTATAAGATCTACACCTCATCAAGCCAGCCAAAATTCTAGCATGGATGGGGCAGGGGCTCATGAAGAGCTGTCGATAACTGATTTCTTCTGGCTGAAGGAGAGAGTCAGTTTTCTTCAGCCTGAGAGATTACTCATGCTCCAGTTGACTACCCTACATCCAGGCTCATACAGGCAGCACTGAGTTGACTCAGTGGGTTTCAAAGCAGAGCACATAAACTTGAGAGGGAAAAGTCATGGAGGGAATAAGGAAGGGATTGGAGGAGAGGGACAGAAGGTGGATTTGAACAAAATACATTAAATGCATGTATGAAATTCTCGAACAACAACAACAACAAAAACTTACCAAGAAAAAAAAAAAAGACTACAAGGCCAGGCTAGATAGCTTAGTGTTAAGAACACTTGCTGCTCTTACAGAGGACCTACATCCAGTTCCCAGTACCACATCAGGTGGCTCACAACCTCCTATAACTTTAGTTCCAGGGGATCCAACACCTTCTGGTCTCTGTGGGCACCTTCAGGTATGTGGTATACGTAAACTCATACAGGTACACACACACACACACACACACACACACACACACTCAAGAGGTTGTGGTACATGCCTATAATTACATCTGTAATTCCTTTACACAGCATGTAAGAGGCAAGAGGATCAGAAGTTCATAGTCATCCTGTAGGTGTCATCTGTAGCAAGTTTGAGGCCAGCCTCGGCTACATGAGACCTTGTCTCAAAAAGCAATAAAATGACAAGAGAATGTGTATCCCTTTTGTTGTTTGTTCATCTACTTATATAATTTATTTGTAGATTTTTTACAATTAAAAATTAAAACACAATATCATTTTCTCCTCTTCTTCCTCCCACCCCATCCTGTATTATTCTCTGCTCACTTTGTCTCAAATTCGTGGCCTCTTTTGTAGGAAGACACTGTAGCCCTGCCTCCTAGGAGCTAGCTACAGGTATGCTTGACTAGGCCTGCCAGGGCGTGGTCAGTCAGGGAAGGTTCAGGATGATGGGTGGGGTGTTCTTAAGGGGGTGGCAGACACGTGGGAGTCTCTCTCTCTCTCTCTCTCTCTCTCTCTCTCTCTGCCAGGGCATGGTCAGGGGAGATTCAGGATGATGCCTGGGGAGTTCTTAAGGCGGTGACAGACATGTGGGAGCCTCTCCCTCTGGCCTCCCTAGCCTACTGCCTCTGGGCACTCTCTCTGGCTTGTGTTTGGCTGGTGTTTATCTGAATAAAGACATCCTAACCCTACAGACTACAGCTCTTCTTCAATTCCGATATACTCTTTTTTTCTTTAATTATTGTTGTTATAGCTTATTCTAACATGTAATGGGAGTCACAACCAATTAAAATTTCTAGAAGAAGTCCCATTCTAGGAACAAAAATGGGTTGAGTGCCTAACACTACATGTGGAACTTACCAGTAGAAGTCTGCCCAAGAAGATTTGCTGTAGCTGTTCCGGTAGCTTACCTAATAGCTGCATATTCCATGACATCTAGCTTTTCTTCCTCTTAAAAAGATAATTTATTCTACTTCTGTTTATGTTATGTGTATCTGTGTGGTCTGCCTGATGCAGGTACTTAGAACTGAAATCAGGTCCTCTGGAAGAGCACAAATGCTGTTAAGCACTGAACAATCTCTCCAGCTCCTTGTTGTTAGCTTTTCTACAAATTGCAAACAAGACCAAGAAGAAGCTGAGAAATAAACCTTTTTCTTATCATCGATTTTTAACAGTATCTATGGGTGCATGTGTGTGTGTGCACACACAAACTTGTCTGAGTGCCTGCAAGTGCACTCAGCACACCCATGAATTCATACCACTGAGCATGTGTGGAGGTCACAGGGCATTTCTGGGACTTGGTTCTCTCCTTCCATCATGTTACAGAGGTCATCAGACCATCTCACGGGCCCTCTTCTTATCAGTTCTTGTCTCCAGCCCTTTTAATGAAACATGGATCATTATGTCATCTTCACTCCTCCAGAGATAGGCAGGAGGATGTATCTCACTTGTATTGTCAACAATTTTGGAAGTATTAGGTTTCTAAGAGCATTTCTAAGATATGAAGATGGGTCTTCCTAGGCTTTAGTCTCTTCTAAAATAGCAAAGATGCATCCTAATGCCTTCATTTCTCTCTCTCCTTTTTTGTGAACAGCATGCAACTTGTAGCATCTGCCTACATGCTGTGTGCAGGCAGAGAATCACAGGGAATTTTATGAGTTCAATCTATCTTAAATGGGATATTAGGACAGACAGCAAGTCGTAGTCCTGTCCTAGGAATCTCCTTGCACTGTGGTTTGGATGTACCATAGTGGAAGGCATCAGGACAATTTGCTCAGGCTACCTCACGGTGGGGTAGATGACTGTGTGGGAGGGGTGACCAACTTTGGGGGACAAATACTTAATCTTCACTCATTTTTTTCTTCTCTTCAGAGCATGCTGGAGCTGGAGAAGGAAAGAATTCAGCTTTTATGCAATAACTTAAACCAGTACAGCCAACATATTTCTCTTTTTGGACAGACGTTGACCACAGTGAGTAGTGGAGGTGGATCCGTTTCTGGTGTGCATGGAAAGGGTGGCAGGAAACAGTTCTTCAGTGACCCCACTCTACCTTGCTTGGTGTTGCAGTGCCACACACAGATCCACTGTGCCATCAGCAAGGTTGACGTTGAGAAAGACATCCAGGCTCTAATGGAAGAAACCGCAATCCTATCTACAGAAAACAAATCCGAGTTCCTACTGACTGACTACTTTGTAAGTACAGAGTGGCAGGAAATGACCTTAACAGGCCACCTCGGCCATGTATTGAGAAGGCATCCTGAAAACAGTGTTAAAACAAATGCTGTCTTCTCCCCCAACACCCCACCCTAGTCTCCTATAGCCCAAAGCTGGCCTTTGAAATCTTGATCTTCCTGCTTCCACCTCCCAGGAGCTGGGATTACAAGCATGTGTCATCATGCCTGGGTAGAATTCTCTTCTTTTGTAAATAAAGATGTTATGTTTTTCATAGTGGTATAAATAATCACAAATAATCTATGGGTTACACCTGCAGCCACATTCCCTTTAAAGGCTGGCTGAGGGTTAGACATGTGGGCTCTTTGTCCTAGTCAGTCTTGCATGCTGCCAGAACAGAATACAACAGACTTGGTAATTGACAGAGATTAGATAGATTCTCAGTAGGATTATGGTTCTCGTGACTGAGTCTGCTGAGGGTCCTCTTAGATGCATAGCAACAGGACAGGAAAAAAGGCACTGCATGGATGAGAGAGCTAGGGCTGAACTTGCTTCTGTGACAAACTTTTCCCATGACAATGCCATTAGTCCATTCACCAAGGAGGGTCCTCATCTCTAATCTCTGAAAGTCCATCTTCTCAGTACTTCTGCTTTAGGGGATTCTTTCCTTTTTTTGTTTTGTTTTCTTTTTCTTTTTCCTTTTTATCTTTTTTTATTCTTCTCTCATACATCCCAGCTGCACCCTCCCTTTCTCTGCTCCTCCCAGTCCCCCCACACACGCCTCCCCTTTCCCCTAAATCCACTGCTCCTCCATTTCCCTTAAGAAAGGAGAAGGCCTCTTGGGGATATCAACTGAACATGACATGACACGATGCAATAAATTCAGGCATATGCCTTTAATAGGAAGGCTGAATTAGGCAACCCAGTGGGAGGAAAAGGGTTCCACAAGCAGTCAAAAGAGTCAAAGACAGGGTTTTTCCAGACAGGGTTTCTCTGTGTAACCCTGCTGTCCTGGAACTCACTCTGTATTCCAGGCTGGCCTTAGACTCAGAGATCAGCCTGCCCCTACTTCCCAGGATTAAAGATGTGTGCCACCACTGTCCAGTAAGGAGGGGTTGGTTTTATCTCACGATAAATCATTTAAATCATAGCACTCTTTCTAAGAGTAATCCTAGGCAGGCATGTTCAGTGACCTATAAGTGACTGTTGTATTGGCTTTCCACAAAAATGGTAAATTGACTCCAAATTTTCTGGCTTAAACACTTGATATTTTACAATTTACGTGGGTCAGGAATCCAGGTGTAACATATCTGGGACCTCTGGATCCCTCACAAGGCAAGGGTGGATGACTTCAGACATCTCCAAGCTCTACAAGGAAAGGCTTAATTTCCAAGTTCATTCAAGTGACTTGGCAAGGCACTGGGAGTGAAAATGGGAAATGTCTTTTCTTTTCATATAGAGTAATTTCATTATAGCATCATATATATGCCATTATATTTTTGTAACACGAATAATAAAACCCAAAAATATTGGTATTCAAGCTGAAGACAGAGAAGCAAAGCAGCCAAGCCAGTAGCTTTTTCCTCAACCTAGCTGAAATGGTAATCCTGTCTCCACAAATCCTCAGAGGCAATGCTCTCTGTCTGAAAACTAAATCTCACATGAGACCCTTTGCTTCTTCCCTTTATACCTCCCTAGTGCTAGGATTAAAGGCATGGGCTCTGTTATTCTTTTAGACTGATTCACTCTTGTGTAGCCCAGGGTGGTCTTGAACTCACAGAGATCCATCTGTGGATTAAAGGTGTGTGCCACTACTGCCTGACCTCTATGGCTAGCTAGTATGGCTGCTGGGATTAAAAGTGTGTATCATCACTGCCTGGCTCTATGGCTGTGGCTAGTTTTGCATTTTGATCTCCAGTGGCTTTATTAAATCATAAATAACATATCGGCACATATTTCGCTCTTATTTGTCCTCTCCCCTATGGCCTTACTTTCTTCCTCTTCAGTCACTCTCGCTATTCCTCTACCTCCTACAAAACCGTCTTCCCTTCCACTCTCATGTCACATGAATCCCATTACTCTCCCCTGTTCCCCCACTCTTCCTCTCCTTGTATAGTTCCCTTCCTACCTCCACTTTCTGAATCTGCATGCGTGTGTGTGTGTGTGTGTGTGTGTGTGTGTGTGTGTGTGTGTGTGTGTGTACAAGCACGTGTGTGCACATACACATATTTAATTTCCCAATGTGTATTTTTCCATCTCTCACCTGGCAATGCATAACAGCCTGCTTCCCTCTGGATGAGTGACCCAAGAGACTCAAAGCCAGAGCCCTCATAGAGGAACTGAACTGGTCCCAGAAGTGACCACTCATCACGGTCTGTGTGTTAGATGTCAGTAAGTGTGATCCTTACTCAGAGGGCAAGAGCTATAAGTCCAGGACATGGGGAACACTGGCATTTTTAAAAGATCCCTACCCTTTAAAAACTAGGAGTGAACTGATGGAGACCTGTTCTTAGGCCATTTGGGGGCTTCTGCTCCAGGGTGATGTTTACTGCTGAAAGCGAATCCATTTCTCTCATCAGAGCCCAGTCATCTTGCTTCTGTTTCTTGGCCTCAGCCTCTTGGGTGTTTGTATTACAGATGTGAGCTACACACTCAGCTTCTCAGAGTAAATTCTTTGTCCTCTAGGAGCTAGCTATTCTAAAACAAACAACAAACAAAGAGCAAAGCCAAACCCCACGTTTTTCCCCCAAGCAGGTACTGGATTCAAGTGGCCTCTATGCCTCAGCCTCACAATTAGCTTGGAACTCCAGGCCCCAGGATCCTAGATTTTTCCTTTCCTTATTGGAGGAGTGAATAAGCCTAGGGCCCTCCTTGTGCATGCTGGGCAAGCATACCACACTGAGCTACACACGCCATACCTAGGAGTTGATGAATGACCTGCAAAAATGACTTCCACTCTTTCCTGTGCTGTCTACTGGGACTTATTCAGGCTTCCAAACTCCCTCCCAGCTCTTACTCATCTCTGGTCTGTAGAGCCAGCCTATTTATGCTCCCCAACTGGATTAAACATGCAGCTGACCCAGGGGCCAAGAACCAATACCCCTATTCAGAGTACAGGGGATAGAGGGAGAGGGGAGGGGACAAGAGCTCTGAATCCCAACAGGATTAACCTTTCCCTACCCCCAACAGCCACACAAATAGCCAGCTGTTTCTTTAACTGGGTCTTTTTCTCTTCCTACCTTGGCAAAGGTGAAGGGGCTACTAGCATCCATGTCTACTCAAAGCAGAAAGGGAGGCAGCTGGAACGAAAGGGAGGGCGCTCTTCTTCCAGCCTCAGTTAGGCCAGTATATGAGAAACACATCTGCTGTTTTCTTACAAGGGGCAATGAAAATGCTTCCATCACCTAACTTGTCAATAAAATTAGGGCACTCTGGGAAAATCTAGAGTCCTATTGTAATAATTGGTAGTTAGGATGGCTCATCTTTAGTCTACATGCTCATGGAAATTTATGATTTTTAGGAAACTTGGCCGGGTGGTGGTGGTGCATGCCTTTAATGCCAGCACTCGGGAGGCAGAGGCAGGGGGGTCTCTATGAGGTCAAGAAAAGCCTGGTCTACAAGAGCTAGTTCCAGGACAGCCTCCAAAGCCACAGAGAAACCCTGTCTCGAAAAAAAAAAAACAGCTCTAGAATGCAACTGTATAACTAAGTCTGTCTCAAATGACTGACTGGGATTGCCGGGACATCCTTGAAGCTAAGCATTCCAGCATCTCATTTCACAGTCATCGGCAGTGAGTATGAGCTGGCTTTTATCCAGCGCCATGCGATTTACTCAGACAAGAGCAAGTGACACAGGACAGTAATCTGAGTTCCCAATGTGGAGGGTCACTGACCAATGTGGAACTATTTATAAATTCTGTAAAATCCACCTTCAAAGGATTGTATCGCTACATGCCTCTCTTAGTACCGCCCTGTTCCTAGTCAATGTTTGGGAAAGAAGGACAAAGTATGGAGACACACAGTGTCCTCAAGTTGATTTGTTCAGAGCAGAAAGGAAGGGGAAGATGGGAATGACAATGAAAGGTGCCTTTTCCTTCTTCCTGCACTGTCGGTGAGCCCTCAGATGGGCAAACGTGCAGTGAAATGTACCTGCTGTTCTCTTACTAGCTGTAATTACAACATCCCTACTGAGCCGGCAAGATAGCTTAGAGGGAGGGTGGAGGCACTTGCTACCATGCCCTTAAATTTCATTCCAAAGAGCCACATGGTGGAAGGACAGAACCAACTCCCACAAGTTGTCCTATGTCCTCCATAAACACTTGCAAATAAATAAATGTAATAAAGTTTTAAAATGCCACTGTAACCACTGGGGCATTTGACTAGCATTCTATTGAAATGTTAGGAGGTGGCATTCCTGGCAATGAATGCTTAAATACTAGATGTCCCCAGCAGGTCCAGGGCAGGAGCCACACTGATTGCATTCCTCCAATGAGAGCTTAGGGCTAGAGTGAGGTGTCCTTAGTCTTTAGTCAGATCTCACCCAATGACACCAGCTGAGGCCTCTACTCCAGGCAGCCCTGAGGAGTGGTGGAGAATCTAGGGTCAGAGTACTATTTTTGTGTTTAGGGACTGGGCACCTGCCAGCTTCAGCCTGGGCCTTCTTTCACATCTCTGTGTCACAGGTACAATGAGGAAAACACAGCCAGTGTCCTCAAGTTGATTTGTTCAGAGCAGAAAGGAAGGGGAAGATGGGAATGACAATGAAAGGTGCCTTTCCTTCTTCCTGCACTGTCGGTGAGCCCTCAGATGGGCAAACGTCCAGTGAAATGTACTGAAATGTACAGAAGTGTGTGTGATAAAGACACAGGGAAACTCACATTGTGTGACATAGAAAGACAATCTTTTAATCGGTCTATTAGATTTTTATGGGGATGATGCTCTCACTCTACTTCCTGCGTGACTCCCTCTTCATGGTGGTTTATCTAAAGCCAGGTCTCTACCAGCACCCACAATTCTAGTTCTTTCCCCTCCCCTAACAGCTCCTCCCTTCCTCTGAAGGCTGCAGTCCACTCCTGTTCAGCCACCTCCCAACCCTCGAGCTTTATTGTTTTATTTTCATCCAACCCTGAAGTAACCACAGAGAACTCACATTCCACCAGGTATTGTGACTCATACCTGTAATACCAGCACTTGAGAGGCTGAGGCAGGAAGACTGCTGTAAGTTGAAGCCCAAAAGACTGAACCAAACAGTGAGATCCTGTCTCAAAATAAAACCAAGCAAAACAAAACCACATAAACTTGGCAGCTTCAGCCCTAACTTCTAGTCTATAACTGACACAGGCCACATTTTCTTCCACCATTTTTGCTCAAGCAAATCTACTTATTGGCCCTGATAGACTCTCCACAGAGCCCCCTTTCCTTTCCTGGCACCATTTCTCCTGCAGAATGCCCTCTGTCCTCCTTTCATGCCACTGAGAAGTCCAGATAAGTCTACAGCCTTGGTGCCTAGGCTATTGCTGCACATATGTGGCCTTGAATTGCTGGTTCTCCTAATACTGTGTTTTGGGAACTAATCAGGTAGAGCACCATTTGGGTCTGGGCATGCATGCTAGCTCTAGTGGTCCTGATAGCAAGCCAACACAGCATTCAACAAACACTTGTCCACTCCCGAGGCAGCTCTAACCTCAGGCACGCACAGGGTTCACAGTGGATGATTAAAGACTTGAGCTTGAGTCAATATCAATTATGTCATGAGACATGAAGTATCCTGCAAATAGTTTATTTATCAAGAAGCTGGAGTCACCATAAAGATCTCTTCCTCCCTGAGTAATTGTTTTATTAAAGAAAATGCTTAGTTATGAACTGAATAATTGTGAGTGGGATGTGACCTTACTAATCAGGCCTAAAACAGATGGATCAATGTGTGTGAACCAAAAATGATCTTCATTTTTCAATCTCACCCCTCTGGTAAAGTAAAAACCACCAAATACAGTGAGGGACAGTCTCAGGAAAACTAGGAGTAGTGACTCTCATTTTTTCCCTGAAGTTACTAAATGTCTTTTTTTTTTCTTTTAAAGGAAGAAGATTTAAAGAATACAATGGATAAAGAAAGACGGAAGTTGTTGATAAAACCAAAATTGTTGAGACTGCAAAGAGACATTGAAAAGGCCTCAAGAGACAAAGAAGGTGTGTGATTTTCATGCCGGAGAACCATGGCTGGCCTGGAACTCACTACATAGAGCAGACCAGACTGGCCTCACACCTGTCTCCTGTCTCTGCATCTCATGAACTGAGATACAAGCTTGTACCATCCCTGGCTTGTGACAGTGTCCTTAGACTCAGGGTAAAGGAAAGTATTAGATCACACTCAGAAGCTTTACTTGGAGTTAGGGTTAGTGTGCTTTTGTGGAGTAGGGTGCCTGCCTCTCTTTAAAGAATGGCATATTAAATCTAAGTTGTGTTGAATAAAAGGAAAAAAAGAATTAAAGTCAGGTGTGGGGCAGGTGGGATGCTCAGTTGGCAAGGGCACTTGCCTTGAAAACATGACAATGTGAGGTGATCCCTGGGACCCATGTAAAGGTGAAGAGGGAGAGCTCCATCACGGTGTCTTCTGACCTCCCCATGTGCTCTGTGGCACATATGTCCACATGTCTTATACACACACATGTACATACACAAACATCATTAATAACAATTTAAAAAAAAACAACTTAGAGCCAGGTATGGGTGCACATCCATGATCCCTGCACTTGGGAAGCTGAGACAGGAAGACTGCTGTGGGCTGGATCCCAGGCTGGGCTACATAGTGACTTGAAGGCCAGCCTGGCATAGAGTGAGACTCTCATCTCAAAAGATCACAATAAAGAAAGCAAAAAAGTATAAAGGATACTTCAGTCAATTTATGAGAATTATATAGGTAGTTCACTGCTATGCTTTAGAAATGTACAATTTTATTGTTTCTCAAAGTAGCTGGGATGAGAGACGATCTGTGTAACTTAAACGTGGTTTGGGGTTTCATTTTTATCTTTTTATTAGAGTTTGAAATGTTAGGACAATTACTCACATTAAGTCCCATACTCGGGGAGGGGTTAGAGGTAAAATAATTCCAAGGTAGTACAGACAACAAAACAAGCACACGTTTCTAATCCAGCTTCTTGGCATGGAACACAAGATTTCTTTTGACATAGCTAGGAAACCCAAGATAGAAAGCACTGCAGACGTAAAAAGAACAAGGAGGAAGAACCTAGCGGGATTGTGACAATGTGAGGAATACTGGAATGGACAAGGGAAACTCAAAATCTTACCCTGAAAATCCCAGTCTGATCCTTTAAGTACCAGCATTTCTCAAGTTTCATCCAATAAGGGCGGCAACGATGAACTGTATGTTCACTTATCATATCCATTGAGTAAATCCAGGACAGCTACACAGAGAAGCTCTCACCCCCCACTCCCTAACCCCCATTTAGGAAATCCCATATGTATCACTTCTAGCTTTCAGGATCTCTTCAAAGGTGCCTGTTGAGTGCTGTGCCCAACCAGTACTGGGTGAAAGGTGACCTAGAATGTGGTTTGTTTTCAGGCCTGGAACAGAAGCTCAAAACACTGTCCAGCAACTCCTCCTTCTCTGATGCCAAGAGCAAGAAGGATGCAGAAGCCTTAATGGATGAGGTAAATATTTGCAGAGTGCATTTCCTGATGAAAGGGTTATTTTTAGCATACCTATTTTTCAGCCCACTTACCCTGCTTGCCACTCCTTCCTCCTGCATCAGAACAATTGACTGGAAGAGCTAAGACAACCGGCTCCTCCACAACTTGTTGAAGGAGTGGGGAAAATTCCTACCACCTAGAAATGTTGACTTTACTTTCTGTGAAAGAGACACATAATTGTGTTCTAAATAGAAGTCTCCAAAATAGATGCATTCTTTAGTGAAATCATCGGCACTTCGAACCTGACACCTGACTGAAATCACCAAATCACTGGGTTGCCATTCACAGAAGCTGATCCTTAGATTTAGCTTTGCTGGTCATAGAAACCTGGGGCATGACTGTTCCCACCTGCAAAATGGGAATATGGATACTGTACCATAGAGCTTTTTGAGGATGCACTGTTATCAAGAAAATGCCAGCACGGTGCTCAGAGAAGGAACTCAAAATCTGACCGATGTCTAGTTGACTTGATGATTATTTACCTTTTATGGTGGTGGGATAGTATACACACATAGCAGTTCTGGTTTTTCACTTTCAGTATAATGCCCAGTAAATTACGAGGGGATGTCCTCAGTCTATTATGAGACTGTCTTTGTACCGGGTGATTTTGCCCAGTGTAAGCTAATATAAGATTCTGAGCACGTCTTAGGTCTGCCAGCCCGGTTGCTCAGTGGGTTGGATGCATCACATCAATTCTCAGCTAACATTGGGCATATCAGGATGCAACCTCACCATGAGTGGAGGCGCAGCTAACGTTATTAATAGAACTCTGCTTTCCATTCTACTTTCCAGCTGAAGAGCTGACATCAGAGTCCTCCGAAAACAAGAAAAAAAATAGCGTTATAATCAGGAAGAGGGCATGGGGTGTGGCAAAGGAGGGCATGGGGTGTGGCAAGGGAGGGCATGGGGCGTGGCAAAGGAGGCCATGGGGTGTAGTAAAGGCCTCTGAGGAAGCAGGGAGCTATTTTTTAAGCAAAATTTGGGGGAAATTTGAGTGGGAATGGGAAGGTGCTAGGAGAGGGCTTGTGCTGTGGTTTGAGTGGTGAAAAGTGGGGTCCTGTTAATACAAGAATTCAGGAAGAATGGACATTTTAGTAATGTATTAGAGGATACAGGAATTGGGAGAACTTTCTTTACCCAATCTAACTCTCTTGAGGAAGTAGATGTCTAATAATTCTGCCCAACTTGGGAGTTTCAGTAGTGGTTTGGTGAAAGCGAGAAGATGTAGACGTGTGTGTGTGTGTGTGTGTGTGTGTGTGTGTGTGTGTGTGTGTGTATGTGTGTGTGTGTGTAGATTTCCTTTAGTGGGAAGGCTGCTTAGATATGACCCTAACACTTTCTGTGAAAAGAAAAGTCTGAATCTGTTTGCTTGGGAACAGAGATCTGAAATGCTACTGCAATGACATGTAGGTGTCATTTACAGAAAAATCATAAAACATACTGTAGGACACTTTTGTGATGGCACAAAATGTTCAATTAGCTAACACGATGCAAATATTTAGCAAAATAAATTCATAAAAGCATGCCACCCATTTCTTTGGTTGTCTTTGCATTGAGATTTGTTGTCATTGTCAGCATCAAACATGCATTAGCATCATTTGCTCACAAACTAGCCTGACTCAATAGAAATAAGGAGAAGAGTTAATCAATCCCCCAAGCTTGTGATGTCTATGAGCAAACAAGAAGCTTCGAGTGGTGGATGCCAAATGCTACAGAACTCCCTTAGATAAGCTTCACCTCAAGGGAGAGGGATACTGGTAGTGTTGACAGAGATTTAGTAGTATTTCATGTTACCCAGGGAAGGGTTCTTGGAGAGGAGGCTTGGCTTGTTGCAGTGTCTCCTGGACCTTGAAGTGCCATATTTGATTCAAGAACGTTGGCAAAGAGGCATTGAGAGTAGATGATATCTGTAGATGCTGCGAGGCACACTGCTCCTAAGAGAGCTTGGTGCTTTCTCTGATGCTTTCAAATTTGCCATATTCAGGGTCTAAAACACCAGAGGTATGGGGAGTTTGGTTCTCATTTTAGGTGAAGCTGTTCCTAGGTGAACTGTGCTGAGGGCTAGAGGCTGTTCCTTCAGAAGGTAACTTTCTAGTTGGTCCATGAGAGTTAGGAATACTATGACGGGGTAATAGAAAAGAGAGAGAAGGAGGGAGTTGCAGAAGACCCTTCCAATGTTTATTCTGCAATTCGATTGCTCCTAAAAAGAAGTAACTATGATGTTTTAGTCCAAGGTCAAAACCAGAGCAGAAAGAGACTAGGAACTTACAGCCACTCCTTGTTTTATATGCAAATACCCTGGATTACTATTCAAATGTTGTTTCCAGTTTTGAGGAGTAGAGTTACTAAAACTTTTCTGGGCAATATTAAGATGTGCCTCTTTAAATAAAAGCTAACACAACTCGCACAAATTTTGGTGGGATGTACTCAGTTCCTTAAAACTCTGTGACTCTGAGAATAATCAACACTTATTTCCTTTCTTGTTCCTGGGGAAAGGTTGTCCAAAGTTGTTCATCATCACAAACTACCTAGAAACTTATCTAACTAGTTTTCTTGGCCCTAATTACAAGAGTAAAGACTAAGACACACCAAGTCTTTCCCTCTCCCTGGTGTTAAGAGTCTTATCCTTTCATTGTTGTTCCTGTATATTGGTATGTGAGCTGAGCGGATATGTTTCTAGAACTCTCTCCCTTTGAAAGGTATCCTGGGATTCCTTTATTCACCCAGCTGTGCCTTGTTCTCTTGAAATTTCCTCACATGGCCATATGATCTGTCCACAGAATAGTTTGAAACTAGACCTTTTGCAAGCAAACTCCTACAAACTGTCATCAGTGTTAGCAGACCTGGAGCAAAGGCCAAAGCCCAGCCATCCCTGTAGCAACTGCATCTTCAAGTGGAAAGAAAAGGTAATGGTGAGATTGATTGCGATGTCTTACCTGGGCTTGCCAGGTGGAAGGGCTTAAAAGCAGGTCAAGGCAGAAAGCCCACCATAACTTACGAGCTGTGCCTGTGCCCCAGGTTCTTACTCCAGTGACAAAGATAAACTTACTTTTGCCCCTGTTGACACTAAACCCAACTAAACACATCCTTTGGAATGAGACTAGATCACTCAAGTAAAGAAGTCAGGATTTCTTCTCTCTCTTCATACCTTAACTTTAGCTTTACAAGGTTCTATTGTAAAAATTCCTACTAACTTGCAATTTTGGTTTTCCACAGACCTAAACTGTAAGATCTTTTGTTTTGTTTTGTTTTGTTTTGTTTCTCTGGGTAACAGCCCTACCTGTCCTGGAACTCTCTCTCTAGACCAGGCTGTCCTGGAACTCACAGAGATCCTCCTGCCTCTGTAAGATCTTATGATGAGCATCAGGTTCATCTTAGTGCAGTGTAAACATAGCCCATGGTAAGGCAGTTTATAGTGTGGATACACCACACACCCAGGCATCTGTGCAGTGCTGGAAGTTGTTAGGTAGACAGCTATTTCTTGTAGCTACTTTCATTACATTCACAATCAGGAAGTATAACCAAACATCCAGCGGCAAAGGGACAGTATATTTTCTGAGAAGAGTCATGAGTTCTAAAATGGTCTCAGTTCTTTTATTGGAGGCCCGTTAAACTTGGACGTCCAGAAGTATTGCTGTGAACTCATCTATTAGGCCCATGCATATAGTTCAAATTGGAAATGCAGGTATAACACACAGTAATCATCTCATTCTGAAAGTATTTTAACTTTGGAACAAGAAAGCAGAAACACAGAAGGTCTTAGAAGTATTTTGATTATTTATGCACCATCCCCATTTATAATCTCGCACGTGTGTGTGCAAGAGGACGCGCGCGCGCGCGCGCGCACACACACACACACACACCCCAAGGAATTGACATACAAAAACCAATGTTACATGAATATTTATAACATGCTTGTTGAAAATGACTTTCTTCTGATAAAAACTGCACAGGAGCACTCTCACACTTATGTAAGAATATCCCGGCCTCTCTTGACGAAGAGATTGGAGAAAGCTGTGAGCAAGACACCTTCTGGTGGGCAGAACAGCCCTAGCTTTTCGCCTTCAGGTAATCCAGGGCCCAAAATCATTGTGGGTTTGTCCTCTGGGTAAAGTCAATTGCTATATTTAAATGATTTCTAAGCTACATTTACCTATATTTACTAAAAAGAAATTATCTCTCAGTTGAGAGTGATGAATCTGTTAGAGTCTGTAGTTTTGTGTACAAATGTAGGAAAAAAAGGTAGGAAGGAATCAAGAAAGAGTACAGGCTGGGAAAATCATTTTATAACATGAGAAGTTACTCATGCACATGTGCACATAGACACAGGTCACTGTCCCTCAGCTACATACCGTAATCTCAGCTGTCCAGTTCTTTTTTATTATTATTAAAAATGAACCAAAAAGAGTTTTAATAAAACCCAAGACATTGAGGTCCACACAATTTATTTAAAAGTCACGTGAATTTTTTGAGAAACAGTTCCCTAAGAAACAAGGGATGATGATATACCCCCTATCTCTACCTGAATGGCAAAGCTAATGTGTTTTAAAAAGAAAAATGCAGCTACCACACACATTACTTAATGATATCAACCATGTTCACACAGAAATCAAATAATTGTAAATTGCCATCATTATTAGTACAATAGCAGTAATCTGGGTCTTGGTTATGTAATATGCATAGTTTATACACATGTTGGATATATTATAGATGCTTATTGAAACAAAGAATAAATATTGGGTAAAATTATAAAACTTTTGAGAAAATTTGAACTATGTACCATACTGTTAGCAAAGACTTTCTGATTGTGTTCATTTTGCCTATTGAGTCACCATGGTAATTACAATTTCATCCCAACCTCTAGCCTCTGTGTCCCAAGTCAGCAACCATCTTTGCAAGGCCCTGTATACTTTCCAAGCCAGGCAAGACGATGAGTTGAATTTGGAAAAAGGTAACACTTGTTCTCAAACATTTTAATTGTTTTTTCATGTTGAGATGCTTTCTTTGAATAAAATCCTGACTTATCTGGACAACATTAAGATGCTCCTGGACTAGGTTTACGGTCTTTCTTCTTAGAATACAAAAATAAAGCACATGAAACTAAGGCTCGTGTAATGATAGCTAATGGTCATTTCATATTTCTTTGAATGTGTCAGGCATATGTATGTTGAGAGTATGTCATTCAATTATTATTCACAAAACCCACTGAGACAGATATTATTTGGTCCTGCTTTATAGCTGGGAAGAATGACACAGAGAAAAGTTCAGTACTTTGACTAAAATCATAAGCAGGGGCAGTGCAGGATTTGAACTCAGAACTCAGTCATGCCCTTAAACCATACTGCTACACTGGGGCAGAATGCCACTAATGGGAATTCACTGGAGATAGAATTCCATCTGTTTGTTTTTCAGAATGTAGAGTTGCAGAAGAGTGATGCCTTCCTTAGTATGACAGTAAATTCTAGAATCTGGGTCCATTGATGACCAGATTAATGTTTGTTCCTCTACATCTCAGAAAAGAACCCAGAGACACTCTGAAGGATCAGATCCCTTTGTTTGTGTCAGAATATTTCCCAGAGAAGTATTTTTCGGTGGATTATATAAACTAATATTCTTAAATCAGCATAAATGTCCAGCCTCCACTTTCTGCATATCTCTATAGCTGGATGTCCAAGCTAAGGCAGACACCTAGAAATGTGCCTGTGAAAAAGAATTGTGCCATAAAAGAAAGCTTATTATCTATGACCAGGATATAGCTTCCAGAACAACAGAAAATCAAGATGGATTCTGTAGCAATGACAGCTATCAGTCACTCCGTGTTTATTTTCTTTTCTTGTTTTGGTTTTTCAAGACAGGTTTGCTCTGCGTAACAGCCCTAGCTGTCTTTGTAGACCAGGCTGGCCTCAAACTCAGAGAGATCTGCCTGTCTCTGCCTCCTGTGAGCTGGGATTAGTGTACCACTACTGCTCAGCTAGAGGGAACTTTCTAATTATCACAGGCTAGTCAGATTTTTCCTGGCAATCATATCTCCTTTTCTATGAGTGAAAAAAAAAAATGCCTTTCTCAGAGGCTACCCAAGAAATCAAGGATCCCGAGATTAAGTTTCAACATTTACATTAAACAATTATCCTGTTCGTATCAGTTCTCTATTGGTTGAAAAGCCCACCTATGTTCATATTCTAAGTAGTTCTTTTCAACAAAACATAACACCAGAGGCTGGGGGAAGGTAACAATAATATTTCAAGTCATTTGTCTGAATTTGTTTGAATTTCATCAAACAACCTAGTGACCCCAGTAAATTCTTTTGAGAGAGAGAGAGAGAGAGAGAGAGAGAGAGAGAGAGAGAGAGAGAGAGAACTCAAAATCAGAAAGAGCTCCCAAGAGTGGAGGGGGGATGGGTAGGGGAAGGTGGGATGTTGGGGGGGAGGGGAGGGAGAGGGAGAAGGGATTGACATCTGAAGCAAGCTTGTTCCTAATTTGAACTAATAAAAGAATAAAATAAAAAATAAAATAAAAAATAAAAAAAGAGCTCCCAAGAGAAAACCACGCATGATTGGGAAGACAGGAAGGTAGCCATTACCTGTCCCTTCAGAACAGGACTGAGCAGGAAGAGTAAACAAGACAAATGTGAGAACAGAGCTAAGGAAAAGCAGATGTTGGATCTTGAGGTGTGTGTTTCTACTCTGATGTAGCCTGTTAGTCAGCTTTTCAATGCTGTGGCAAAATACCTAAGAAAAACAGCTGATGAGAAGAAATGGTTATTTTAGCTCCTGGCCTCCAAAGGTCAGTTTCAGTTCATTTGGTTGTCTTTCAGGTCTGTGGAGAGGCTGAAATTTTTATAGTTGAAGGTTGTACTGAGGGAGGAAAGCTACCCAGTCCTTAATAGGCAGCAAGCCCAGGGCTGGCAGTGGGGTGGGGATGGGAGGGGAAAAGAGGAACAAGAGATGACCTTCGAATGCAAGCCGTTCAGTGACTTTCTTCCTGCCAACAGACCTTTGCATAAGGTCATTCATTATGAATGCATTAATGAAGTCAGCAGCCTCGTTATCCAATTATCTCTCAACACCACCGTCTGGGGACTAAACCTTCAACACACAGGCCTTCAGGGGACACTTCATATACAAACACTATGCCCAGAGAAAAAGAATTCTTTCAGGCTGGAGGCTTAACTAAATCATGCTGGGCCATCCATCAAGTTTAAAGTTTCTAAGATCATGGTGACATTTTTAAAAGGCAACAGAAAATTAGATAAGAACTGTATTAGGAATTTGGCTTTACTCATTTGCCTTCAAATTATCTCCAAATTGATGTTTTACTATTGAAGTTGTCTAAATGAATGAATGAGGGGCTTGATTTCTATGTGAAACTGCCAAAAGACCAAATCCAAATGAGGCATGGGAGTTATCACAATTTTAAGAAAAAACTATTAGTAGAAACACACTTTCAATGAAATACTCTAAACCCTCATATGTATATGTCTAACACTGAAGGTGTGGACAGCAAGAAAGAGTTTGCTGACAACCCATCCACTGTATATGAATTGAGCCAGCTGCGCAATTGTACAAAGATTCTGGTATTATGTCACTCTCTTTAGCATTCTCTGTATTTCGGCTGTTTCATGCAAAGTGCTCTGTAAATTTGGCTTCATCTGAATCAAACGCAGAAAGTGATGTTACCAAGTACCTTCTTGGGTACAGAATGTTCTTCAAAAACTCTTACCAACTTTTGCTTGGCATGTGCTCAAGTTGCACAGAACCATCTGTCTAACTCAGTGTGTGTCCTCGCAGGAGATATTGTGACCATACATGAGAAGAAAGAAGAAGGATGGTGGTTCGGCTCTTTAAATGGGAAGAAAGGCCATTTTCCTGCTGCCTATGTGGAGGAGCTGCCTTTAAAGGCTGGAAACACAGCTGCGCAGTTATAAAACAAGACTGGACAGATGAGTGTCCTTATATATTCTGTAAATAATGTGGTACAAATAAATAGGGACAGTTATCATCTTTGCAAGTTTTTCTTATGCAGTGGGTGGTAGAGACCTTCCTGCATTTCACAGTGCTCTGTACACAGAGTTATTAGCTCAAAACAGAGTCAAATAAAGGACAATTGGATTGAGTGAAGCACAGAAGTTTATGGCTTCCTAGAGTTCCTAAAATCTAAAACCCTACAGATGATCCACTCATGACAAAACGGAAATGGTTACCCTGAGTGACTTCAGCCACTTGCCTGAAGTCATATCATTATCTGGAAGCACACAATAATTAAGATTTGGGTGCCTCTTTTTCTTTTCTTTTCTTTTCTTTCTTTCTTTTTTTTTTTTTTTTTTTGAGACAGGGTTTCTCTGTGGCCTCTTTTTCTTTAGCTTTGGGTGGCAAAAAGACATAGCAGGCCTATGAAGTGTCAAGCAAAGCCTGGGAAATAAGAAAAAAAAAACATAGACTAAAGCCCAAACTAGTAGTGTCAGACAAGCAGGGTGCAATGTGATAGACACAGAAGCAGAATAAAGTATCAGGAGCCAGGCCCCAAAGTCCACTGGGCTGGGGGTAGGGAGGGAGGGGTGAGACAAGAAGTCTAGACCCTCAGGAGAGGATCTCAGGGCAGAGCCCATGACTTTCTGAGGTAGTAATTTCTCAGCCTCTGCCCATCACCAAATGCAAGCCAGAGATGGCTTGGGATCTGAGGAAAAGCAAATAGGAAGTGCAAGGTAGGAAGTGGTATGTGAAATTTCATGCTTTCTTTCCTGTATGGGAGCTTCTTTTGTCCATTGGAAAACTAGGTCATTGTGGAAGGAACACCTTATGCAGCTGCCTACTGAAAGGAACTCAAGAACTTAGTTGGAGTAGAAAATGGAACCCAACATTCCCCATTGAAATGGAACTTTTGTTGTGTGGTGTGGTCGTGTGTGTGTGGTCGTGTGTGTGTGTGTGTGTGTGTGTGTGTGTGTGTGTGTGTGTGTGTGTGTGTGTGTGTTGAGAGGGGATCTCACTGTGTAGCCCTGGCTTATCTGGAACTCACTATACAGACCAGGCTGGCCTTGAACTTTAGAGATCTGCTTCCCTCTGATTCTACCTCCCAAAGGGGACCTTTATGCAGTTTCCTGCAATGTCCTTTAATAAGAAAAGCTTGAGAATAAGAGCAAACTCCCTCAAGTGTGGCAGTGCATAATGGACATGCAATGTTAGCAGCTTGCAGAAAATGGAGATCACACACTCTAGTGAATGTAAGTTGTGATGCTGATGGAGATACTCACACATCTTATTTCTCTGCCACATAGAATATCCTTTTAAAGCATCCATAGTTGCACTTGTTAAAATCCTCTCACTATCCTCCTGTGCCCTCCTTTTCCTTTAATTTGCAAATGTTTAATAGGGGAATTTCCAAATTGGGGAACATCTATGGTTAATGTGTTATTACATTCCTATCAAGCACATAACTAACATAATATTTGGTACAGATAACAAACCTCAAGGAATTCAAGTAAAATTTATTATATGAAGCATACCATAAAACCTAGAAAAACAGCCTGAGGTTGTTCTTTGTTCGTTAATTGGTTTTTGAAAATTTATTATTCAAAAAACTTGCAAGTAAATAAAAACATCATGCACAAAAATTAACCAGACCCAAAGTCTGTACAACTCAACAGCTAGAATAGGTTTTCAGAATGGAAGCCATGAAGGTTCATGTTAAATTTTGCTATTAAATATGTTTTATACACTTATCCACTACCCAAAACAAAAAGCCCATGACAGAGTTAGAACTAGGAAACAATTAGCTTTATGTCCTGCTCCACGACTCATATCCATTCCCTGTATTCAGCCCTTCCCTAGTCCCTTGTATTTAGCACATCTTATAGTATACTGTGAAGAGAAGAAACTGCCCAAACTTTTAATCCTAATGGCTCGTTAGTGACAGCTTCAGCATTAAGAAAATTGGCAGGCTACCAGACAGCAGAGTTTGAATTTATATTTCCTTTTGCATCCTACTTCACTCTACTGAGCTTTGATGGACAAAAAATAAATGTGCAGCAATTGACTGCAGGCTAGACTATTTTGTACATAGGGAGTAATGATAATGGTAGTTTGGGGTGAAATATTCAGAAAGGGGCCTTTCTTTGTACATCTGTAGTGCTTTGTCAGAATGCAAATGGTTTACTTCTTTGGGAATGCTGCTGAAAAATGCTATTGCATCTGGGATATGTAATTTTTTAAGTCCCCCCGCCCTTTAGCAAACTCCCTTTCCTCTGGCTTTTTCAAGAGTATGCTGCAGACAGCCTGAGGAAGGGTAGAGTGTCCTGGGACCCAGAGTGAAGAGACTGAATTCCAGGCTCAGTTCTTTATGCCATGGTACTTAAGTGGTTGGATCCCATACCTCTCTGACCTCAGCTTCCTCATAAATGTGTATCAGGAAAGATAGATGCTCCGATCTACAGTCACAGCTTCTCATTTTAAGCCTCGTGATCTGAGATTCAAGTCATGTCTATAGAATCTGACAGATGAAACGTGTGTGAGTTTCAAGGAAATACTGAAAAGCACATATGCAAGAGTCTGGGTCCAAGTTGTTCCTTCCAAATACTATAGCTGTAAACTAAATAAAATACAAATATGGTTTGCTATGGTAGACCTATTTCAATATAGGCGTACCTATATTGCAGGGCAGGAATTTGCAGTCAGGCAGAGTGGGTGGACCTCTTAGATTAAGGATGAAATTAAGAGTGAATTAGGTGAAAATTTATAATACATACAAGTTTTTTTGCATAGAATACAGTATTTTTAATATAAATGCTCCTAAACTATGAACTAGGTTTTTAATAAGTATATTCCACTAAGCATATATGCACATATTTCATATGTCAGAAGTTTTTAGTACTGCTAATAACCTGAAATATGGGCCTCGGGAACCATAGCCAGCTCTTTACTGATTATAGATTTTATTCTATATGTTCTCCTTATTAACAGAGCAAGAGCTGATGTGTCTATCATGTCACTGAACACAAAGATACACTAATTTGTTTCTCACATTTTCCATGACACATAATTAATATTCATAACGGCAAAAGGAGTTTTAATCATTTAAAATGCTTTATAGTCCATCAAAAATGACATCATACTCGATTTGGAGTACATTTTATTGTACAGGATTATAAGCCTTTAATACTTTAAGGACAGCTTAGTTATATTCTTCACCAACATGAAGTCACTCTTTCTTAGTGCCTTGATGATCTGGAGGGCTAACAACTTTGATGAGAACAATAGAAGACCATTGGAATCAAAATAGTACACCCTATTGTCTTTTTGCAGTTCATGAGGAAGGAATGTACAAGTCAGAGGAGAGGGAGAGAGGGAGAAGGCAGCACTCAGACTTGAACCGGAGTGTGGGAACACAGCAGAGGGCAGGGACCTTTTGTACATTACTACTTCATTCTCTGTAGAGCCCTGAGCAGATGCTCCGCTTGATAGCCTGGAGACTTCTCAGCCACCCAGGTTCTGAAGCCAGCTGCCCCATCATTTTAATACTATTTCCAGACAATTAGACACAGTGCTATATTCAGCACAGTTTACTCTTTGTTTTTGTTGGTGTTTTTGGTTTTTTGAGACAAGGGTTTCTCTGTGTAGCCCTGGAACTTGCGGATGTGCCAGGGCTAGCCTCAAACTAAGAGATCTGTCTGACTCTGCCTCCAACCACTGGGACGAAAGGTGTGTGCCACCACCACCCAGCATTCATTTTCTTAACCGTTATTTAGCTACAGAAATGCAAAAGCTGAATTGTAAATCCAAATATGCTTGAATCTGTTGACAACTTTGTGGTCACATAAACCCACATGGTATAGTCAAGGTAGAGCTCACAGATTCAGGTGTCATCTTGAGTTTGAATCCCCATTCTAATATGTAAGAGCTGTGTGACTTGAAGCTATGTAAATTTTATATTTCATTTCTTTTTAAAATTTTTTTTCCTGCAGATTTTATTTGAATTAGAAACAAGATTGTTTTACATGACAATCCCCTACCTATCACATAGCCTTTCTGCTCCCCCTGGATGAGGCCTTCCATAGGGGGTCATCAGAATCTATCGTATCCTTTGGGATAGGACCTAGGCCCACCCCTGTGTGTCTTGGCTCAGGGAGTATTCCTCTATGTGGAATGGGCTCCCAAAGTCCACACCTATGCTAGGGTAAGTACTGAATTACTATAGGAGGTCCCGTAGATTTCTGAGGTTTCCTCACTGAAACCCATGTTCCTGGGGTCTGGATCAGTCTCATGCTGGGACCAAGAGCTCCCCGATGTTCAGATCAGCTGTGGGTTTCACCAGCCTGGTCTGGACCCCTTTGCTCTTCACTCGTCCTTCTCTGCATCTGGATTCCAGTTCAGTTCAGTGATAAGTTGTGGGTGTCGGCTTCTACTTCCACCAGTTGCTGGATGAGGGCTATCGGGTGGCATATAAGTCAGTCATCAATCTCATTATCATGGGAGGGCATTTAAGGTAGCCTCTCCTCTGTTGCTTAGATTGTTAGCTGGTGTCATCTTTGTAGATTTCCAGACATTTCCCTAGTGCCTGATTTCTCTGTAACCTAAAATGTCTCCCTCTATTATGGTATCTCCATTCTTGTTATCTTCTATCCTTCACCTGACTCAACCTTTCTGCTCCCTCATGTCCTCTGCACCCCTCTCCTCTTCTCCCCTTCTCATTCTCCTAGCTCCCCCCCCTTCCCATGCTCCCAATTTGCTCAGGAGATCTTGATATATTTCATTTAACTGCAGAATCGAGTTATTAATGGCATCTATTTCACAAGTTGGGAGAAGACTGATGAGCAGATGTACAGCAAGGGCTTAGAAACACTGGGCTCATAGAAGTTGCTATAAAAAGTATTCACTAACTTGCTTTGTGGTCAACTGGTATTTTGTTCAGAGAAAGTGGTTTGGATGAGTATGGTCCCAGTTGCAGCGTTAATCATCCATGGTCAACAAGTCTAAAAACATTAAATGGAAAATTCTAGAAGTAAAAATTCCTACATTTTTAAGTTGTATCCTGTTGTTGAGTAGTGGAATGTGACAAAATGTGGTAACACAATGTAACATTAGGTGAATTCTTGTTCATTATATTCACACTGGATATAATACCCACATTAGCCAACTAATAGCTATCTTAGATATCATTAACTATTAGAATATTTCAGTGTTTGTATTCGAGTAATCTTTAATGATTTGCCACTATTACAATTGTTCTATTTTGTTGAAAGTTACTATGGATGACTCATTTTGAGTGTCAACATAGATTCAGAGATGCCTAAGAGGAGATGGTACATTAGGGTAGGGTATTTCCCAAGAGGATAAAATGTGGGGGAGTATCTGGAAAGACTTGCTTTGAACAGGGGCAGCTAGTACCATCATAGGGGACCTGGACGGAACAAAAGTAGGAAAAGAGAAAGCCACACAGGAAGTGCAAGTGCCATTCTTCCTAAGTACATCTGATGCTGTTGCTGTCACTGCCAATGGACACTAACCAATCAATGGAGAGTCACATCAGTGGCCGTCTCATTTCCCAGCCTTCAGCCTCAGACTGGTACTGTATCATTGGTCTCCCTTTTTCTGGAGCTTCAAGTTTCATGGACCAAGGAGCTACCGAGTTCCTGGCAACTCCTGTATGCACATAGGTCTTGATGGACTATTCTGTCTCTAATCATGTAAGCCAACCAAGTAAATCTCTTTTAATAATTACGTAGTGTATTGTTTTTGTTCTTCTAAAGGACTAAAATGCAGTTATTGTTGTTAATCTCTTACTGTGTTTAACTTACAAAGATTAATGAATTCTAAGGATATATATTTCATTTAAAATTTTTTATGTTGTGTGCATGCATGCAGGCACACATGCCATGGCATGGATGAAAGAGAACAATTGTGGGGAGTTAGTTTCCTCATAATATGTGGGTCATGGGACTAAACTTGGGTCATCAGGCTTGGAGGCAGTATTTGTACCAAGTGAATTATCTCACCAATTTTTGCTTTACTTTTTAAAGGGTGTGTTTTACTTTATCAATTTCCCTCTAAGATTTTAATGAGAATAATTACAGAAATACATCTGTGAGGGAGGAAATCATTTCCCTTCAAGTCTCATAAATTCATACTGAAGAGACAGTTACAAAGACTGAGTTCACAAGAGAAAACTAATCAAGTTTATTAACACATGCATGTACACTGTAGAGAGAACCCAAACAGAACTCCAAACAGGCTTAGAACTCAAGTTTACACAGCATCTTCAACAGAGAACAGTTGGATTTTACAGGCCTGACAAGACAGACAGCGGATTTGACTTTTGGCTTCCACAGATGGGGAATTATGGAGAATAAATTTATGGGAGTAAGTTAATGAAGTAAGCTTGTCCATTTCTCCGGTGGTGCCATGTCTGAAGTGGTAGAAGATCTTTTTAGTGGTTAACTCCCCTCTTTTTGTGGGTATGAGGCTAGACACCTTTAACATTTTAGGTCCAGTGTTTAGGCAAATTGAGGGAGGGCACAGCAGTTTTCTAACTCTGCTGCTGTTTAACTGTTTTTGATAAGGTTTATGTTAAAGGTGTATGTTTGGGATGATGTATTCTAGTTTCCTTCATACCACACAAAACACTGAAGAACCAGAGGGGCAAGAGATGAAAACTCTTTTAGGGTATTATACAATAATGAAGTAAACAAAATGCCACATATAATTTCTACATCAATTATAAACCGTAGCTATAAAAGCTTTCCGAACATTAGCAAGAAACGCTGAAAAATTGTTGGTCTTCCTGACTTTCTCCTGAAATTCTGCTAGGCACTCAAGATGAGGTGAGCAGTCAGACACTGGAAGGAAAAAGAAGATACTTTAAATGAGGGGCTCTGTGTGTGTGTGGAGAAGTGTTTCTAACGCAGGCTCTAAACTGGTCTCAATGACCATTATACTTTACTGAAATGCTCTGAGCATAAACTAATACACTTGAATTCATAGTTATCTTTTAGCCCTTTTCCTTAATCCCTAAGTATTCAACTGTAAGTACCACAGTCCCACTTTAAATCTAAGCCAGGGACTGAGAGCTGAGTGACACCAAGGCTATCTCCATCATATTTCATATATACATTTTGTTTTAACTATTAAAAGACATTTTCTGTGCAAAACATTAGCGTGACTTCTAAGTTTCTTGTCACAATATAAAAAAAAAAAAAGTACAACTTTGAATGACAATCCTTTTTTTCCTTTTTCCTTTCTTTTTTTGAGATAAGGTCTTGCTATATAGGTGTGGCTGGCCTGGGATCTTTATGTAGACCAGAAACTCAGAGATCCATCTGCTTCTGCCTCTTAAGTGATTAGATTAAAGGCAAAAGCAGACACACCTGACTCGATGGAAATTCTTTATAATTTATGATTTTTGAAAGGAAGATCCAAGATTTTAAAAAATTGATTATTTTACTACTTTTAAAACAACCTTATTTTACATACCAATCCAGTTCCCTCTCCCTCCTATCTCCCCACCTCACCCCCACCCCATCCATTCCTCAGAGAGAGTGAGACCTCCCATGGGGAAATCATCAAAGTCTGTCACATCATTTGGGGCAGGACCAAGACCCTTCCCCCTGTATCTAGACCGAGCAAGGTATCCCTCCATAAGGAATGGGCTCCAAAAAGCCAGTTCATGAACTAGGGATAGTTACTGGTTCCATTGCCAGTGGTCCCATAAACTGCCCAAGCAATAACCAAGGTTTTTTCAAGTGCAATGGAAGTCAGTGGAAAGCATGGTTAGTGTTCCAAGAGTGGTATTTGCAGAGTTCACTAATTAAATGAGACAAAAATCACAATTTACAAAAATCCTCATGTCAGCATGTCTACATGTTGGTAGAATAAGCCTCCAGAGTGAGTTGCCAACAGAATGATACAGCTCTTTCTACATTAACCATCTCCTTTGTTCAGGAAGAAGAACTTAACAGTATGGCTTTCTGGCTTTGGTAGAGTTTGCTCTGACAAAAGCAAATTAAGAAAGACCTTATTCTAGCTCACAGTTCAATCAAGCATTGTGGGGAAATCAAGGCAGCAAGAGCTTGCAGCAGCTGGTCCCCTGGCACTCACAGTCAGGAAGTAGAGAGCAATGAATACACGTTCCTGCTCAGCTCCCTTTCTCTATGTCTACAGCTCAGGATCCTAGCCAGGAAACAGCACCACTTACCATAAGGTCTTCCTGCCTCAATTAATACAAGATAATGACTCACTAAGTATTTATTCAGTGACTCTAGACTGTGTCAAGTTGACAATTCACACTAACCATCACAAACAGACTATATACTGATTATATACAATTTAGAAAAAATTGGAAAACTAGGGAATAGGTTTTGGGAGTTTGATCTTTAATACCTAGCACTCATTTGATTAAAAGACAATTACTTAAGAGGAAATTCTCAAATATTTTGTGGATGAAGATTCTCCAAATCTGAGTCCTATAGGATGACAGTGAATCACCAGGACCCCAGAGCATACAGCACCCTGTGTATCTATCTGCCAGCTACATAAGCATTAAAATGTCGCAGGTGAGAATCATTTTTATGAACACCAACAAATTAAAGTGCATTTATATAAAGGACTATAAGAATTAAGAAGGTGCAAACATATTTTGACCTTAGTGTTCACATTGTTAGCAATCACATACATTCCCTATAAATTAAAGATTCTCTGACCTGCTGCAGAACCAGTAACCAACCCCGCTGTGAATGTGTGAGGCTTTTCAGGATGAAACAGTCTTTAAAAAAAATATTTTGAGGAAAATAAATTACCACATTTTGATTATTTTACACAAAGTGGCAATGACTAAACTATTCATACTGCGAGTCACAATTTTAGCTTCAAGTTCTTTGCAAAGGTAATCAAATTTACATATGAACTGCAATGAACTTTGGTCTCAAGAGTTTTTTCAGCCCCCATGATTCTGTGTCATCCTGGAGAGGTTTTACTTATTAGGGCCCCTAAATACACCTACAAGGCGGAACTACTCTCACATTCTTTAGAGAACAGCACCTCAAGAAGAAACACTGGAAAGGAAACAGCTTGTGCAAACACTACTGTCCTTATTTTGAGTCAAGTGACAGGTGAGGGTACTGATCTTAAACACAAGAAAGAGACAGGAGTACATACCTTCATAATCTCTAGCTTCATTTAGGCTTAGGGAAAACATATATGGGCTCTCAGGATTCTTAGGGTCAATACTAGTGAATATAAACTGCAATTTATCACCTAAAGAAATAGAGTAAACCATTTAATATGAGAATACTTAGAATGTCAAGGCTCTCAGTGGAGATATTTACACACACACACACACACACACACCCCTGCCCCTTCTTTGATCATTATGTGCACTGCTGTGTATCCACTTAACCAGTATCTCCAAATTAGAACTTACAAGTTAGTTTAAATGACATTAAAACAGACAACAAAGGGAGAACAGAAAAGGGGGACATTAACTGACATTAACCTCTTTTTTTTCCTTCAAAAGGATATTATCAAAAACATGGAAGAAGCTCTCAAAATTGGGGCAAGTATTTGTAAATCAAATACCCACTAAGGCTTGAAAACATGGAATACACTTAAAAAGTCCTACAACTTGAAAATACAAAAGCAGAGATTTAAGGAGGTCACTGTAACCAGAAGCGGCAACAATCCAGTGTCAGCTCTCCCCCTTGTAGATTAACAGTTAAACACACATTGTATACATATACACTATACATATATATATGTTCATATAATATGTTCATATATATACCCATTGCCCAGACCTAAAAAGGAATGAACTTCTCATATATAACTACAGCATGGACAAACCTTGGAAATACAAAGCTAAGATGCAAAAGAAGAATTATTGTTTGATTCAACAATATAAAAAACTAGAATAGATAAGATAAATTCACAGAAACAAAAAATAATAATAAATTCAAGGTTACTAAGAGCTTTTAAAAAATTCTGTCTGGGGTGATAAAAATAAAAATAATAGAAATCCATAGTGGTTGGTGATGGTTACACAACATTGTAGATGTAATTAATGTAAATAGCTTAGTTTTACATTATACAAATCTTACTACAATAAAACCTATATTGTTAAATGAATTCATTTTATATTTTTCAAGTTAATTATCCAAAAATACCATGAAATGCTTCCAAATGCCTGGCTGCTACAATGTGTAAATTCACATACATTTTAGTTTCTTCTATAGCATAAAAAATTAAGCAATCTTATTTAAAGTTCCTAGTTATAAAAGGAATTCTTCAGAAACTTAGGAAAGACTTATCTTACATCCAAATTCAAAGTGAAGAAACTGTCAGTACCCCAGATTTTAGACAGTTAATGGTACTGGAAGAGATGTGCATGCCAAGGAAAGATTTGGTAATATACTCAGTTAAACAAAATGAAGTTTAATTTGGTGTTTTCTCTTCCCCTGAATACACAGAAGAGGGTACTTCTCTGAGAGTCACCAACAGGCAAAGAGTCTTTGTGGGTTGGTACTTCCTCCTGCCAGGGCACCAAGCAATTTACCAGTTGTGTGGTGGACACAGCTTGTCACCCTTTTATTTATGTCAGTTCTGATGCTCTCTTAAAGACAGGTTGTTATCATCCATTCCTCTGGTTCAACTGATCTGCTTAAGCAGCTTTCAGAAATCAGGGAAACACTTTACTTTTACCAGTTTATAATAAAGGATGCTACTTGGTTCCAACACACACTGTGCCCTTCCCACCATCATAATCACACAGTAACAATAAATAAAACAGCTTAGGAGGAAGGAGGGTGTTGAGAAATGGCTCAGCAGGGAAGGGCACTTGTAGCTAAGCCTGATGACCTGAATTCAGTCCCCAGAACCCACATGAAACCTCCAAAGAGTGCAATGGCACACATGTACATCCAAAAATGACTTAAAAATGCAATAAATAAATAAAATATACAAACTTATCTATCTTAAGTGTGCACATGCAGGATTCACAACTAACTGGTTTAGGCATCCACTACATGTCTTAAAATATATTCCCTATGAATTAAGTCCCCTCAGTGACTCACCAAGCCTTATCTTGGGAAGCTCCCAAATCCTATTCATTGTAACCAATTAACATATATGTACATAATAGCTATAAAAATACTCATGTACTTTTTAATATAGCAACTTCCCTCTGGGAAAGAATCCTCCCAAGGGACAAAGTATATGTACTACTTCTAAAGCTAAAAAACAGATATAATCCAATTGCTCATAGCAATCAAATTGATAAAAAGATAGAATAAATCACATTACATTAATAGAATGAGTAATTACACTAGCATTCACAAATCACCATTCTTAAGGCAACTGGAGATGACACAAATGCCACTGAAAACCAAGAACAGTAAATTTTTGCATGGTGTTTTTGTTATTTTCATTAGAATCCTAGATAAATAAAACAAGAGTACTTATATTTAGATGATTAGAAAGGTAGACATTGGTCTATCTTCTAAAAACCTAATGATGTGCTTACTAGCTTATTTGAAAATATCTTAGATTCTTCTCTTCTCTAGATACCCCTTTTCTAATCTTCTATATACCAGTTACAGCAATAAACTTACCAGGAACCTTCCTAATTTCCAGTCCAAGGCAATCTCTGTACATGTCCGCTGATTTCTGCAGGCGTTTCAGTTTATCTTCATTAGCTTTGTTAGCAGTGGAAATGGCTACGATTTAAACAGTGTCAAATACTTCAGGTGATTTTCAGTTTAAGGCTTATTGAATTAATTTTAAGAAACTTGAAAACTACTAAAATATTATGCCAGGCATATCAATCTGTTCATATTTATTCAATTTCTAACTAACAAATAACAAAAGGGGCTTCTGTTTAAGATGAAAGAAAAGATTGTTAGAGATATAGATAATCAGGCCAGGGACTTGTATAACTAGCCTAGAAAAAGATTTCATCATTATTATTATCGTTGTTGTTTTCTGGCTACATAAATACTAATTGCTTTATGGGAAAAATATTTTACTCCTCTAAGCATAACTGCTTCCCATGAGAATTCAGCCTCATTTCATGCTGGTTTACAATTATTTTAAGTTAACACATAAGTCTAACTAATAGATGGCAGGTAAGAAAAGAAGTTAAGTTCACAATTTAGTATTGGATGAGAACTCTGGAAAAGAAAGCATTAACCAAACTCCTAATTTCAAGAGCTCTGAAGAGTCTATAGGCTAGGAAATTTCCTTTCTAAATAAAGCATTATTCAAATATGGAAGTTTTTACAGAACAGGGCTTTGTAGTATGAATGTTTCTAAATGAGACAGAGATAAGGATCTTTTTATCCTTTCAGTTATACACACACACACACACACACACACACACACACACACAATTATTTTTACCTCCTATTACCCTGTCTCATCTTTCTCCTGCTGAAACCCTGCTTCTTCCCTACAGGTGGCCTCCCCTCCCCTCCTTTCATGTCTTGTGTGTGCAACTTGCTGAGTTTAACTGAGCTTCCTGCAGGAGCAAAGGTTGAGTTTATTTATTGGGGCATAGCTTGTGCAACTTACTATCAGCAGCTATACCACTGAAGACTAACACCCACTACTCCCAGCCCACACTGTTCTTTGAGGGTGGGCTCTCGTGGGCCCATCTTCCTATCTATGTTGACTGGCCCAAACTCATGCTGGTAACCACAGCTGCTGAGAATTCATGAGCACACTGGCCATATCACATCCAAAAGACAATGTTTCACAGCACTCCTCCCCAAGCTCCAAGCCTTACATTTTTTTTGTGATGCCCTCTGAGCCTTGGCAGGATAGTGAATGTGATATAGATGTCCCTTTTAGGGGCAGCCACATATTCTCCACACTTTCATCAGTTGTGAGTCTATGCATTAACTGCCTGGCAGAGATTTTATGGTCCATAAATGTTTGTGATGCATGCCTGCAATCCCAGCACTCAGGAGGTAGAAGCAGGAGGACCAGAAGTTCAAAGACATCCTTAGTAATAAACTTGAGGTCAGCCCAGGCTACATGAGATACTAAAGGTTTTGTCCAATTTCAGTTACAACCAGAGAAATAACAATATGAGGGTCTGGTTGTAACTGAAATTGGACAAAACCTTTTAAGCAAAACAATAATCACAAAAAGAAAACCAAGCCCACTTGGTTGACCTAAGTGACCTAGCAGAGATCCTAGGCTGGCTATGCCCTTAAGTGTCATCTACTTACTTACACATGAAATAGAGCTGGCAAGATGCACACAATTGTGAACCATCCTGTCTTTGAAATTCAGCCAACTATTTTAAATGTAACCATGAACTTACTTTCCTTCTTCCTAGAATACTCTTCCTTAAGGTCCTTGATATTTGCTATCAGCACTTCCAATTCTTGCTTCTTGCCTTTTACTTCATCAACCATCTTTAACAGGTTATCTTTTTTTTCTTGAATGAGCTTATTCTGCTTACAGAGCTCTGTAAGAAACACATGGCATTTAAAATACATACAGACTACTCTCTGACTTATAACTAAGGGAAACACAAAAATCATTGACTTTAATATCAATAAATTGTTTTTGCATTTTGTTTTGAAGGCAGAGCCTATGTAAACCTAGGCTGGCTTCAAACTCAGTATGTAGCAAAGGCTGGCCTCAGACTCATAATCCTTTGGCCTCTATCTCCCTAGTATAAAGAGTGCTTTGAAAAACATATTTCATGACTCAAAAAGCATAAATGTTAAAAGAAAATCTGCTTCATTAGTTGTCTTTAAAATAAAAAAAATGCTTCTAAGTTTGAGAAACCAAATTAATTCACAAAGTAGGAAATGAGAAGCTCATGACTCCTGTAGTTCCAAGAAAGTCTATTAGCAAAGCCCATCACAGAAGACAATCCAACACTGCAAGACATCCTTTCACCGTGCTTTGCAGAAAGAGCTGTCTGGAATGTACCAAAGACAGAAGAAAATGGTGATAAGACTGGCAAATCTGAAACTAAAACACAGTAGACATCACCATGTATTTGAGTGACATATAGTGAGTGACAGGACCAATGAGATGATTCAGTAGGTAATAGTGCTTGCTGCCAAACTTGTTGAATCCCACATGGTGAAAAAGGATCTACCTCCTGTAAATATACCCATACACATAAACAAAAAGAAACAAATCTTTAAAAATATATATAAAAAACCAATCCACTAAAAGCAAATATGGTTAGATACAGTAAAGATAAAATATTAGGAAAATGTATCATATGAGCATGTTATATAAATTACATACCCACTCTTCATACTGAATTTTTTTTATTGTACTGGGGATTAAATTAAACCCAGGCTCTCAAAAAAACGATAACCAAACACTCCATTCCCCCAAACTACACCCCAAGCTCTTTTACTGAGTTGCTCAAACTGGCCTTGAACTTTCAGTGCTCTGTAACAGCCTTCCAAGTAATATAGGTAGTCTGTGCCAACTCTGCCACTATTTCTTAAACTAGATATATAGAGGAGCTTATATTTTTCACATGACAAAAACAAAGTATCATCTACAACTTAATAATCCACATCAAGAAAACAGGCTCTGTGTGTGTGGCAGGGGTGGGAGGAAACCCTACAACTTGCCTTAAACACACAGCTGAGTTGGATTCTAGATTACACTGTGTTCTTCTAAATACTACTAAGGTAGTATGTCTACTTCCCAGAGTCTAGACATTACTGCAGGCCCAGGGGAAATAGGGGGCAGGCAACAGACCATCTAACAAGAATAACCAGTAAATTCACCTGACAACACATAGGTGAGAAAAGGGAGCTGTGAGAGACCTTATTAACCTAACCAGGAACTGCCTGTAAGATACAGTACTCCCAGTGGATACACTTAACCCCAATGAAGTACTAACCAACCAATACCCAACTCAGGGAAACAAGGACCCTGGAGGCAACTATGGTGTGTTTAGGAAGTTAGTATGACAAGAAAAATACAAACAGAGCACCAAGGGGGTAGAATACTCTCTTTAAGCAGTGTAGAATTCAAAATAAATTCTAAACTTACTAAATATTTCAAAGACAAAATGAAATCTTATAAAACCAGAAAAGCAGCATCTATAGGAACAAAATTACAAAACTAACCACGAAGGAGAAAGATCTGAGTCAAAAACAAAGAGAAAGGCTACAAAATTCAACATACAGGTGAAATAATTCACATTTGACTCAAATAAAAACAAAACTACTAAATGCTATGATCCTTGTTAAATACCTCATAGTTACCTACTTTATTCAAGGCCAGGGTACTATTACAGAAATCTTAATCTTTTAAAAGAAAAAAAAAAAAAAAAAGGGTAAGAAGAGTGTGGTGGTGCCTCTAATCCTAGTGCCCGAAAAGTGAAGGTGAGTCTACAAGACTGAGAAGGAACACCACAAGTTCTGGACCAGCCTGGGCTATAAAGAAAGTGATGCCCCATCTCAATCAACTAAACCAACAAAGCAAGACTTCTCACAAGAAACAGTTAAGATAAACCTGTCTTAAAATTGTGAGGATTTCAAGTCAAAATGTGCAAACTGCTTAGACTATGTGAACTAAGGGTAAGTTATTAACTATTCTGCAACTCATTGAATCAAGCCCTCCAAAGCCTACATCCACAATGCATGCATTCCATTATTACAGCAAGTATTACAATATGTTTTAACTATGGTCTCCCTGTCTTCATCTCCACTAAATTCTGAGCATACCTTATGCACTGCTTCCTTAATCCAGGGCAAGAACAATCAAATATTCATTGAATTTTGTTAATTGTTATTTTTTTTTCAACCACAGTGTGTGTGTATGTGTGTGTGTGTGTGTGTGTGTGTGTGTGTGTGTGTGTGTGTGTTGCAGTTTAAGTGTTTAAAACATAGTACCCTTAAACCAAATGTCTCTATGAAAGTTTGACCAATTGCCCCAGGTTTATGGCTTATGTATGATGATTCAATAAAAGATGCATTGAAATATCTGGAGAGCTATAGAAATGAGAGGGGAAGAGTGGTGGTAAGGATATGATTATTAGAATGTTAACCAGACTCCAAAGTTCCAAGAAACTCCAGGTAAATCCTTGGCTGGGATTTCCAATGTAAAAACAAACTCCTTTTATTTTAAAGGCTGGCCTTTATACATAAGCATACTCATACCTTACTTAATTAAAAAGAGACAGGATACATTATAAAATGCCATTCATATAGTATTCAAATATAAAACAGAAAAAATTAATAGTATTAGAAGGCAAAAGATATTCAACTTTAAGCTGGTGACAGGAATAGAATTTTGATGAATGTGTGTATGCATGGATGTGAATGTATGGACACTTACTACTACACTGTCTTACTTGTAAGAAGATTTCACGATAAAGACATTCAATCTAAAAACTGATCTACAGCTTTTCACATACGATTTTGATAGTCCAAAAACATCTCCACCATCCTTTCTTCTTCCTTGAGTTTCAGAGACAGCTTTTCTGAAAGACAAATGCAACACAAGTTTTGATTCCGCTGAAATAACAGTAGAAAGTATGTAAGAACAGAAAATGAGCAAGTTGGACATTAAGGGCAATACCTGAAAGTGCTCTAATGGAGTCCCTGAAGGCATCTCTAACCCCCAGCACCTGACTAGGATTGCCAATGAGGCTGTTTCTGAACTTTTCTCCAAATTCATTTATGCTTTTATCAAAAAGCGCCAGTTCGTCTTCAAACATTGTGTTAGACGCTGCAAAACAGAGGACACATAATTATTATTGACACCAAATACATCACATAGTCTGAGTATATGCCCGCAGTTTGGTTTAGCTACGAAATGGTTAAATTCCACAGTTCAGCCATCGTAAAGGAACAGACTATATATAATTCCAGCATTTGGAAGCTGGGATAGGAAGGTCAGAAGTCAAAGGTCATCCTCAGCAAAACCCAGGAGCAGCCTGAAATACCTGAGACCTTGTCTAAAAACAGCAGGGCATGGGGATGTACACCTGTAGTCCCAGCACTGTGGCTAGACCCTGTCTATAAATAAATAAACAAACAAACAAACAAAACCCATCAACAGTCCGGTAGTTAGCAGGATATGAGGGTGTATGTACACCTGTAGTCCCAGCACTGTGGCTAGAACCCGTCTATAAATAAATAAATAAATAAATAAATAAATAAATAAATACACAAAATCCATCAACAGTCCGGTAGTTAGCAACAGGATAATTCCAGCCACTTGGGCTTAACTGTGGTGAAAGTGCGTCAGTCTGTTCTGAGAGAAGTAGCATGAAGGGAGGTGAGGGAGGGGAAATATTAATCAAAATGTGCTATATGAAACTTCCAAGTCATGTTTTAACAGGGCCCGGGTGTCAGTCAACTTGCCCTTCTAAGGACCTGTTCGCAGGCAAGGAGACCCAGAAGGTCTTGGTTTTTGGTACTAGACCCCTGCGGCCGGCCGGGTCCTGCTATTCCCCCTGCGGGCGGGGAGACGGAGGGGCATCGGTGGGGTGGGGTCAGGGACCAGAGGGACGGACGGATGAGGCAACCGGAACCCCGCGGCTAACAGCGGAGGCCCGCGTTCCAGGCGGTGTCGACACACGCCGGCAGGCCCAGGCCGACTTTCCCTCACCCACGCGAGTGGCGAGCACCACAGCCCTTCAGAAGACTCCCCGACCTGGGCGGCCAGGAACGCCACCGTCTTCACCAGAGCGGACGCGTCCGGCAGGAACCAGCCAGCAGCTCTCCAGCCGAGCACTTTCGATTTCAAACTCTGGACCTCCGCTACCCGCCAGTCAACTCGCCTTTTGATTGGCTGGCAGCTCAGGCTCCCCGTGCAAGGATTGGTTGATATCGGCCCGAGGAATTCTCGCGGACAAATATGGAGCTGGGCACTCTGGGGTTCGTAGTTCTTGTCTTAGCCAGACTCTGGGTCTGTAGTGAGATAGCTAGAAGGACTTAATCACAGGACGAAGAAAAACATAAAAAATTGAAATTTAATTGCATTCTTTTATGAAATATATACCCCTCTCCTTTGTACTCATTTTATTTTGGAAATGACAAAATATCCCTGAACTGACTCCAGTTATGACTGGCTAGGCAGCAGCATCCTGAAAGTTACCAAACTATTTACCAAAACTTACTGTTTGAATTTCCCAAGCTTCTCTAACACTGCTTTAACTTGAGCATTTTTACTTATTTAATTTCTATATTTGTATGTGTTTACATAAGAGGACATCGTATCCCTGGAACAGTTGTGAGCCATTGGCTAGTCCACAGGCACTCTCCACCCTGGCACTATCAGCCAGTTCGTCAGATACTGACTTTTAAACCTACATCACAAGAACAATATGCTCCCGGATCTTGCAGAACTTCAAACTGAATAGAACCAGAGTACTACCAAAGCAAACCACACTCCCTGAAGATAGACGGGTAGGAGACACCAAGCTATTTTAAAACACATGCTTTAAAAGTAATAACAATATTAAAGATTTAAAACTAGATGTGGTAGTTTGAATGCAATTGGTCCCCATAATCCCGTAATCTCATAGGGACTGGCACTATTAGGAGGTGTAGCTTTGTTGTAGTAAGTATGGCCTTGTTGGAGGAAGTGTGTAGCTGTGGGGGTGGGCTTTGAGGATTCATTTACTCAGGATACTGCCCAGTGAATCAGTCAACTTCCTGCTGCCATCTGGTCAAGATGTAGTGAACACCGTGTCTGCATGCACACTGACATGCTCCCCACCCTGATGGTTGTGAACTAATCATCTGAAACTGTACGCTTCCAATGAAACAGTCACTGTAGTCATGGTGTCTCATCACAGCAATAGCAAACCCTAACTAAGACACTAGGAATTGTCAGAAGCAAACTTCCAGTGGGGAATCAAATTTCACAGGTGAAACAGACTTGCTATTTACATCTCTCTTTGCAAAACTGAAAAAAAAAATAGGGAGTTGAGATTATGCCCTCTAAAGAAAGGGAACTAGAGATGGTCAGTATTGAAAGATTGTAGTTATGATTTGTTTCTGAAAATAACTCCCTGCTTGAAGATCAAAGGTCTCACAACATTACTGTTTCTTTTGCTTGCCTTAAAGCATCCAAACAGCATCTACAAGATTAAGGTATCTCAGGAATACCAGATTTGGGCCATTTAATCCTCAAGAACTAAAAATCAAGACTTATGAATCATGACTAGTCATCACCAGTTAGCACACCACAGTGTGTCTGAAAGTCACTTTCTTGCCTGGGGCCTGTTATTAACAAATTTGGCCACCTTTGCAGAGGACCTGGGTTATGTTCCCAGCACCCAAGTGTCTCCATGGACACGCACATTCACTTGTACATATGGCTTCCCCACAAACACAATTTTTATTTATTCATTTATTTATTTATTGTGTATAAGTATTTTGCATACATATATGTCTGTGAGCCATGTGAGTACATAGTGCCCTTGGAGGTCAGAAGAGGCCATCAGATCCCTGGAACTGGAGTTGCAGATAGTGAGTCACAATATGAGGCTGGGACTTGAACCCAGGTCCTCTGGAAATGCAGCCAGTGTTCTTAACTGCTAATTGTCTCTCCAACCCCACAAACACATTTTTTTAAAAAAAATGAAATCATCTTAATGAGTTTTAAAATTAGACCTATAGTTTGCTGTGAAAAGCCTTTAACTTTGAATGCTGATGCAGTGACTTCTGGTTTTGGATATGTAGTAGCATTTACCTTACATTTTATATCTTGGGTGCCTTAGGTCTGCAGCTGAATGAAAGATAATACTTGCTCTAGATTTTCCACTGACAGTTAAGATTCAAGGCAGGGTGCTAACTGGAGGCCTTTTCCTGCTCACCTTTCCACTACTCTCAATTTGGCCATTGAGTGATGAGAGTCTAGGTGCCAAGGACTGTGGACTAAGAAAGAGATTGCCTTTAGCAACATTTGTTTTCAGAGTGACCTACTCTAGGATAGCAAATGCTTTCTCTGCGGGAGTTAACGGAGGTTGAGTTGTTTCTATATTTGATCTTGCTGTATAGACCAGGCTATCTTTGACAACCCTCCCTTCCTTTCTCCACACAACCTCTTACTCCCTTTCTTTATGTTTTTTTTTCCATATTCAATTTCGGACATGTAGCCTGGCACAGTCCAGGCAAGCAATCTATTCCATATCTCCAGTCCTCTTTTTAATTTAAAGACAGTCTTACTATGTTTATGTTGTTCAGGCTGATCTTGAACTTGTAATCCTCCTGTCTCAGCCTCCCAAGTAACCCAGGCTTCTGGCTTTGATCACTGTTTTTCCTTTGCCAGCATCCTGAGTGCTTGAGATTTGTGTGTGTACATCATCACACCTAGCCATAACTACTGATTTTTTGTCCAGGTTCCTTTTCAACTAAGACATGAGAAAGAAATTGCTATCATTTGTCAAATCTCTAGTATCTGGAAGACTAGACAGAGAAAAATACCCCCAACCTCTTCTGCTCATCATGAAATAATAGCTTTTTAAGCCTTTGAAAGGAGAAAGCAGAACTCTTTTGTCACCATTCACACTGTCATTGTCTCCATCACTATATTCATATGCCATTCATTTCAACCCAAGAAGGATTTATTGTGAATCTATTAAGTTATGTGTTGAACTGAATGCTGTCTTCTCTGGAATATATATGGTCTGGGACCCATGTTGGCTTTCTTCCGGGTGGCGAGGAAAAAGATATTACATCTTGTAGTCTGGAAATGTTTGAAGGAGCCTTGCTCAGTGGATTAGTCAGGGTTCTCCAGAGGAATAGAACCACCAAACTATAAATACAACCATGAAAGTGGACTTACTGCTGGGCATCATGTCACATGCCTGTCATCTAGCACTTGAGAGGCAGAGGCAAGGTTATCTCTTCGAGTTTAAGTCCAGCCTGGTCTACATAATGAGTTCCAGGCCAGCCAGTGTTACATTGTGAGACCCTGTTTTACACACACACACACACACACACATACACACACACACACACACTCGATTTCACTAGACTCTTTCATCTTCTATGTTAAAAAGTAAATGAAAAGAAGAATTTCCTGAGCCCTCCAGCATGGTGGTTTGATGATGTCACTAAGAATTCTCCCCTACAAAAGAAACTTTGAAAGTTTTTTGGGGGAGGGCATCCTAAAAAAAAACATTATGCTACATGAAAGAAGCCAGATGCAAAGGAATATATAGTATGTGATTGTACTTTTATGATGTTATCAGAAATGACAATCCACACAGAAAGCAGATGGCTGGTTGTGGGGGCCAGGAGTGGCAGCTCCTGGCTGCCAAAGGACACACAGGAGCCTTCTAGGTGACAGAAATGCTCTAAAACTAGGTGATGGTGATTGATTACAACTCTATAAGTTTACTAAAAACTGATGAATTGTGTATTTAAAACAATTACACCAATAAATTACTAATTTTTTTAAAGGGCTGAATGATAGCAGTGTTATGGTGGGAGTCAGAACTATTTCTCAATACTCAGAAAAAGTTCAATGCCAAAAGAAAAATACTCAGTTTTGGGAAAGTGTGGTAAAATCCATAATGTACTATTTGCAACCTTAACTCTTTTAAAGCATAGTAGCATTATGCTGTGTTAACACCATTGCACCATTACTACCGTAACTCCTATTTCCCTGTCTACTGAACAATAAATCCCATTCTCCATCTCCTGGGCACTGACAGCCACTCCTGGGCACTTTCTCTCTGTAAGAAGCTGGTTGCTAGTCAGGTATGATGGTTTTCACCTGTTCACAGTACTAGGGAGACTGAGGCAGGAGGATTGCTGTGAATTGGAAGCCAGCATGTGATCTATCTCCTGGAAGAGGAGGAAGACAAGCGTTAACTAAGGGTATAATTCAGAGGTAGAGTGCCTAGCGTGTGTGAGGTCATGGCTTCAATCACCAGTAAAGTTTTAACTGTCTCCTAACTGTAAAGAGTGTAAATCTGAAGCCAGGCATGGAGGTTCTTATCTTTAACTTTGGTATTCATGAGGCTGAGGAAAGGACTGCTATGAATTTGAGGCCAGTATGGGCTACATAGTGAGTTCCAGTCCAATCTTGGCTGTAATTGGAGACAGGGTCTCAAAATAAAGGAAGGATAGGAGGAAGGAAGGGAGTGGAGAGAAGGAGAAAGGGAGGGAGGGAGGAGTCGAGGAAGGAAAGGAGAAAGGAAGGGGAAAGAAGAAACCAAGTTGGGGACTGGAGAGATGGCTTAGTGGTTAAGAACACTGGCTGCTCTTCCAGAGGACCTGGGCTCAATTCCCAAAATCCACATGGCAGCTCACAACTGTGCGACTTCAGTTCCAGGGATTTGACACCTTCAGACCAATGCACATAAAATAAAGTTAAATAAATAAATAAATAAATAAATAAATAAATAAATAAATAAATAAGAAACTGGGTGGCTTATTTTACTTACAGCTTTTAAATGCAGTCTACTAATGAATGAAAATATGTTATTAGCACAATAGTACTATCTCCACTATATTCTGAAATGTTCAAGGCCCAGTCACATGCTTCCTCTTCTAGAGAGTAGTTCATAACGACACCAATGGAAGGGATACAAAACTTCCTAATCTCCTTTGCACAGACTGAAAGTTACATCTGCCCCTGTTCTGCTCCTCTTGCTCTCTCTGTTCACTCAAGGTAGAGGGTATAGCATTGGTATTTATGCAGCTCCCTCACAGCTTCTAGTAGATTACAGGGTTCTTGCTGCATGATTTACTTCTGTCCTCCCCAGGCCAGGTAAAGACCAAAACCTGTCAGTGCTTCTCAAAAGT